ATTGTGCGAATAAGTATTTAAATATGCGAATAGGAGTTTCGAATAATACACTATTCGACATTCGCTTCGAGATTAACTGTGATATTTGTGTGTTTTTCTTGTTGTTTTTTTAAGTGTTAAAGGGCAACTCCGGTCCATACTTTCGATTTTGGGATTATTGCTGTTTTTAGTGCAGTAAGCGCCCCTGAGTTGCAAGGTGTAATTTTTTTCTCGTTATTGTGCGTAGTTTTAAAGATATCGACGTCTCAAAGTTTTGTTTGGGGCGCGGCCGACAAAACCGAAACTAGCCGCTTGAGGTTCCGGCAACACTGGAAATCACCCGGGGTGGTGGTGGTGAATACGTTTATTTAAAGAGAAAAAATATATATCTCTGGAGACTCGAAGTTTTCATGACGCGGTGGCCTCAAGGCTTGGCATCGTCTCCTCGGTTAAAGGTGTTAGATGGAGTTTCCCAGGTCTCCCTCAGAAATATACTCTAAGAGAGATCTGAGGATCCTGGTCTTGCGTGAGGTGTCGCCCGCTGGGTGCGTCCAGTCCTGCAGTTTAGAAGGTCTTTCGTCATTCGCCATCTTACTGAAGATGAGTGTTCTGAGGGTGGAGAGGGCCACACATTCCCAGAGTATGTGTTTAAGTCTGGGAATGGATTCCTCGGCTTGACACCGCTGGCATCTGGGGTCGGGAGGGACAGCGTAGGGTTGTTGTTTCTTAAGTCTTGCCAGGTCCATTTGGTATCTGAACCTGGGTGTGACTGCTCCTCCTGTGCGTATGCGGCGGAGGATCACCGATTCTTTTCTCTTGAATTCTTCCCTAGGGAGAGGATGTTGTTCTGGGGTCCATGATCTTGCCAGAAGATGTTTTCGTGTCTTCTGGGCTAACCTGAGTTCCTCCCTTGGATCGTATGGGGGAAGCTCAGAGTCTTGTTGCTGTGGTGTTGAGCCTGCCGTGGAGGACTGAGACAACAAGGACGGTGTTCCGAAGACCTTCTCGGCGAAGGTCTTCGGAACGCTCGGAATGGGATCCTCAAGCCTGTGTACGGCCGCAGCGCCGCCGCGTACATCCGGGACCTTTCTACGCTCGCCGCTCGTCGGTGCCTGATCCCACTACACCTTTCTAGTATGCGCCGCCTTTTCCACCGCTTGGTGGCGGGTATGTCGACGGGTCATTTCTTGTTTCCGTACTTTCTAAACTGCATTTGTTTCTTTTCTGATCTAAAATACTGAACAAAAACTACTTTTATAAAAAATTGAAACGGTTCGCGCCACTTTAATTTTGTATTTCGACTAAAAAAAAAGATCGAGGTGCACCTAAGCACTTTTTATGAGTTGTGAATGCGAAAGCATGCAAGCCGCTCGTCCGCTCCCTTTTTCGTCTGCTGCATACTTTTCGCCGCCGGTCAGCGCGTGTGCTCCCCAATCCCCAGTCAGCGCGTGTGATATGTCACGTCAGGCACGTGACATATCACACGTGCCTGACGTGTCATATGTCACGAGGGTAAAATTTTCCCGCTAAATAGGGCGGGAACATTTTCCGCTATGCACTAAGCAAATAAGCATCAAAATAACGGCGCCTACAAAGAAAAAAAAAAATCGGGTACTGAAAAGCCGTTACTCTGTTCGGATCCATTCGAGACGTACGACCTACTATGACAATGTAATCCCGTAAAACCTATGGGATTGCGATTGACCAATATGATGCGGTTCACGCGTTCCTGGGGGCGTAAATACCCCAAGGCGCGGTGTAATTATTCGATCTCCGCCCCTGCCCATCTCGATGAGCATCGTACGGGCGACGTGCGGTCGTGTAATCCCGAGACTGCGGGATCCACGTTAAAATGCCCAGGTAGGGGTGGCGCCGCACCCTGACAAATTGCTCCCTTTTGTCGCCATTCCTCAAGGTCAGGCCGACGTCTGCACGCTGTCTAGACATTCAGCGCCTATAATATGCATTTTTAAATATAATAATCTACGCATAAAATGGAATGACGTTCGATAAAGGCAAGCAAACAAGATCCGACGAATAACGAAAAAAAAAAAAATGTTTTACTTTATAACGAAAAATAGTCTCCGATTTTTGTAAGGTTAGCGCTTTCTACCGAAACCAATGATTTTCTGTAGCACTGCTCGTTCAGAAACATTAGTTCCTTTGTCTGTTTCTTTCTTGCCAGTTGTCGATAAGTATTTCTGACAAAAAACGTGCGTGCCTATGGTGCGTGCCAAAAGTGTTTTTGTTGGGCTCTTCCAGCGCAACTAGGGGACATTTTTAACCTTGTTTTCACTTTTTTTTTAAATTTTAATAATGTTTTTTTCTCTCTCTCTCTCTCTTCAGGGCTAAATATGTCAGTTCTCGAAACAACAAATGAAGCGACTTGTGATTGTTTGGTAAAATCATGGCGCCTGGGACCCGCCTCGGACTTGTGTATCTACCGCGTCCTCGTTTATGGTTTTTGGTAAATACCGACGACTGCGCACTCGTGTCAGCCTGGCGTAATCCTCATGCATTAAAAAAAAAAAAAAAATGGCAGGAAAAGGAAATAAAATTGTCAGACTTTATATCCCCTTCACTCTACAAAAATAGACGCCCCAGTGGCTGACCATGTCGTTTCATTGTTTCACGGAAGCTATAGGCTCCCCCATTGGAAGATGGTTTATTTGTCCTTTTTTTATTTTATTTTTATCCGAGCGAGGTCATCTATTCTCATTTTTACTCAAATACACCTTCTAGTTACACCTCGGCGCTAAATTACGTCGCAGTTTAGTTAAAAAATCAATTTATGCGATCCTTTCAAAGGGCCAACGCGCCAGCGGAGTCACACTGTAGATAGAAGCTTCAAAACCGTACCGCCGGGTTTGTTACGGGAAATTATAGCGCTTACATGTTGGTATGACCGAGATGAAAAACGTAATTAGACGGCAGCCCTTATTCTCAAAAAGCTGAAGTGCTTGTATCCCGCTTTTAATGACCTAACCGGAAGTGACGAAAGATGTAAAGCACACGGTGGAAGAGACAGAAAAAAAAAAAAAAAATGCTGTCTGTCTCTTGCATTTTTTTTTTTTTTTCAGACAAGCATCAGGTTTTACTATCCCTATGATGATATCCTGCCATATCGGTTACAATGTGTTGTTCAGCCTGCCTTTGCGTAAAACCAAGTGAGCTCGTTTTTCTTTTTCTTTCGTACAATACCAGATTATGTGTGTTTGTATGACAGTCTGTGTGTTTTGTAAAACTAGACTTTCTTGTTGTTTTTTTTTTATCGTACCTGCTCTAGTGCTTGGGTGATGTAGGTCATTTCCTAAATAAACAAATCCGACAGAATTTTCCATGCCATTCTTTCTGATGAAAACAATAATAATAATGAATATACGATTTGTTTAATGAACATCATAACTTGTAAAATTATATAAGGTGCATATACGTCCTTATATGATCTTGTATATAATAAGGCAGACGAAACGCTAAAACACTCATCTCCAAAACCAACTGTTAAAATTTTGTGGCGTCTGTTTCCCAAGCACCTCTCTGAAACAGAATTCAGCGCTGTTACTGCATCGCAAAATGCAATGTTACCGCATCGCAAAATGCAAATTACCCATTAGGTATACCTAGACACACACACAGCAGCAGTGAAACGAAAATAGAAAAGACAAGATATGCACGCGGAAATAAGATGCATAACACCATTGTTTGTATAACCTCGATGTTTTTGTTTCACCCTCCGACCTGTCTCCTTCCTTCAAAATGTGTACTTCGGGACCCTTTCTTTTTTTTCTTTTTTTTTTGCCCACTATTTTTACACTGCGTGCTACATTTCTCAAGTTGTAAAAAGAAAAAGGAAAGACAAACAAATAAAAAGGACACACCAGCCACGCGTACGCCCAAGTAACATAACAACTAGCAAATATTTGTTTTCCACCCTTGACGAAACGATATGAGGGCGACCACGTCGCACTACAACAGTGTACACGCCCCTTTAAACCCCTCCTCCCCTCCCCTTTTTTTTAAAGAAAAAGGAACTCAAAAGCGCCAAAACAAGAAGGGGGAGAGAAGGGGGGGGGGGGAAGAAATAAATAAAACAAAAAGAGTTGAATGGTAGCTCGCACAGGGGCAACATGGCAACGGATTGTTCGAAGCCAAGCACCGTGTCATTCGCGTGCTCCAATAAGCTCGCAGGCAACCCACCCACCGACCTGCGTTACGTTCGGGGCCAGCGAGCGCACAGCTGGGAGAGCACGGAGCGCGGAAACACCCGGAAACACACGAGCGCATGACGAAGCAGATGAGTTGTATAACCACGCGGCGTGGTTGTTTTGCCTTCGCGAAAAACAAACAACACCAACAGGCGAACACAGAGGAGACACAGTGAGGGGTTTGAACCCCTCGCCGTTGCATTTCGGTTTCGTTTCTGAAAAGGATCGCGGAGACTCGGGACGTGTAGACTACGGACGGCCGAGTTGGTTTGGTGGCGAGGTGCGTTAGGAATCGTTGCTTTTCGACGAGTACGAGAGTTTGAAAGATGGAATGAATGGGCTACACGAATTAAAAAATAAACGTAAGCTGGGACAAAACAAAACAAATTAAAAAAAACGCGCTTGTCGTTGTTTTTGAAAGGTGAGACGCGGTGGAGATTTGAGGCGAGACGCTCGCTACAACAACAGAAGAAAAAAGGGGAGTAGACGATTCATAGTCGACGCGTCGACCTTTTGGTGAACCTTAACGTCCGCTTCTCTTTTCATACCGCGAGGAGCTTAATATGCCGTATGTGCGGGGTTTTCTCTTCTTTTAGGAGACGGGGTGCGAAGCGCGAGCGGATCGATAAATGCCACTTGGCGTGTGCGTGTTTGTGTTTTGACCAAGGCCTTCTCCCAGAAAAAAAGCGTACGCGAATCCTTACGCGGTTTTCGTTTTTAATGTTTTCGGTTGCCCCCTTCTCCGGTGTGCTGGCGGGGAGGGGGGGCGACGCGCCCGAGGCGGGAATGGCAGCGAAAATTGGCGTGCTTACGTACCTCGTCGATTCATCGGCCGCACACGCACAGCCACTTTGATCTTGTCAGTCGTCATGGTCGTGCGGCGTTGGTCCGCGATCGGGCAGACTATCCGAAACGGAGACACTGGAATACCATCGGGGCGTCGTGGTCGTCCATTCGGCCGTCTACATGTTCGCCGAGGGGTCCTGGTGCACGCAAGGAATCCTCCGGATCACACACGAAGTCTCCGCGAGGAAAATCTCGCACCATGCTCCGGCGCCATGTTTGCGAGATGAGACTCGGGAGACAAGTTGGGCTGGTGCAATCGATATTCGAGCATCAGGCGCTTAATGTTTTACTATACACTGTCGGAATAAGCTAGTTGTTTGTTTAATTATATTTTACGGTTTTATAGGTAGTTTATGTGTTTATATAACGAGTACGAATGATATCGACCTGGTCAAAACTGTAAACCGCTGATAATGGCGACATTCGAGTCGCAAGTATAGCCAGTCTAGCAACATAAACTTTCAAACTAAACTCAACCGTTGTCATTAACACACTGTATCACGCGTTTATGCCGTGATAACAAATAGTGTAATACGGTAAAGTCACAAGTAGGTGAAGCGTTGTGTAAAAATAATAACGTATCACAATAAGACCAATACTAAAACTCATAGTGTGGTTTAAACTTAAAATCTGTTTTCTCATTGGACTATTTAGCGGATAAGGTGTACGACAGCTACGACTGCTTGAAGCTCGTTGGGTAAACCACGCGGAAACGGTTGCGATGGTTGCGGTTGGAAATAGCAAGAAATAGCGCGTCTCGAGAACGGACCGCGCGTGCTGTGGCAGCATCGGCGGCGTTCCTGAATTTTTCGCTTGAAAGTTTTTTTTGCCAGTATCCCACTTGTGCGCTCGACGTCGCCTTAAAAACGGAACCCGGCCCTCCAGCACGGCCGAGAGCGGTCTCTAAAGCCAAACCATGATGGACGAAGACAGCGCGGGCTTCGGCGAGCTCCTGCAGCAAGCCGAGCAGCTCACCGCCGACATCGACGGCAACACAGACCTGCCGAGGGTTCAGCGAAACCTCAAGCAGATCCTCGAAGAAGGACAGCAGCTATGGTCCCGCACGGCGCAGCTCTCGGCCAAGGACACGACGGACGTCAAGGCGTCCATCCTGCTCGGCTCGCAGGGCTTCGACCTGCCTAAGGTGTCCAAGAAGCTCGAGAGTCTAAGCGCCGTCAAGAGCTTCGAGCCTATCGAGCCCATCCACGAGACAGACATCGACTCCTTCCTGCGCAACGAGCGGGAGAACGCGCTTTTGTCTGTCATTCAGGAGTCGACTAAGACGACGCTACGCGAAGCGGACGACTTCTACTGGCAGGTGATGTCGAGCGACTGGCAGCGGGAGAAGCAACGCATCCTCAACTCTCTGCTCGGTTCCTCCAACGAAGTGATGGACGTGAGCGTGGCCCAAGAAACCACCGTGTTCCCCGTCAACATGAAAACCCGCAGCGCCATGTCGGCCACTGAAGTGGCCTACGCTCGCGAAGTCTACCTCTACAACGAGCAAGTGGTGTTGGGTGGGTTGCGGCCCAACCTGGCCGAGCGTTTCAAAGTTCTCGCCAAGGAAGGCAACGACAGGGGGGCCGCCGACCTGTGGGACATGGTTTGCGCCTTGCTGGACGCGCCGCGTCGAGGCGTAGAGAGAGACGAGGCGTTCAATGCCGGCTTCGTGCGTCAAGCGCGCCGCTACCTGGAGAGGAGCTACTGCCGCTACATGCGCATGATCGTTCAGGGGAACCTCGAGCAGGCGTCGATGGGAGGAGTCCCCGGAACGCTGAACCTGGTCACCAGCTTCCTGAATGTCAAGGCACCCGTGGTGGCTTCTGCCAGTGAAGGTTGTTTGAGGATTTATCTCTTGGGCTTTCCTCGTATTTGTTGGAGCAGTCACCTCCTTGGGGCTGTACGGCGAGCAAGTTCGTCTGCTTCCGGCGTGGAGGGTGCAGTGACGTCGCGGCACCGAGCTCTAATTGAAGGATATAGGGGATACGCTCAAAGGCAATTGTCTGCTATAGCCGTATTTGAGTGCACTGTCCACTGGGCATGCCCAGAACGAGCTCAAATGTATAGGTTCCTGAAACTGGCAATCTTAATGGTGTGGAATGCACATTGCAAAAGCACTGTGGAAGCTCACCACATGCTTCCAGCTATGCTCGTGTGCATAGCTGGAAGCATGCGCTGTGCAGCTAGTCACACGGCAGTGGCCAGCAGTGAATACACCCCATGCTCCCCTCACCCCATAGCTGATGGTGCGGTGCAAGCTATGTGCTCATTAAACCAGTACACTTGACCATGCTCCCGCCCCATACCCACGTGCAGAGAGCGAAGTAGGGTGTTAAAAGGGAGGCAGTTGGTTGGTCCAGGAAGTGCGTAGCTCCCTCCGCAGCATCAGCTTGGGAGTAAACGGGGTATAGTTGTAGCAATGGCTGCCCTTGCCTTTTTTTGTGGTTGCTGGAAATTCACCAATTCTTTACGAATGAGGACTCGTCTTTCAAGAGAGGGGAGATGGAATACTTCAATGGGTACATTGTTTTTCTTGTCTAACAACCGGCGGATGTACTACAACAAACAAAAATTGCAGCTGAGATGTTCACTACCCAGCAAAGAAAGTGCCATCTGCAGGGGTGGAGCTTCGTCAATTGCATATGTATCACTCGCTCTCACCTTTTCGTGCCTCCTATTCCATGTGTAAGGAGGAGGGAATGTTTTGGAGTTGACATGCTCACCTTATAGACAACTAAAGGACTGCTTTCACAGGCACTTGCTGTGTTGGGTTAAAATTCCGCTTTCTTGTGCATTTTTTTTTTCAGACATCGCTCGATTTTTGAGGGGAGCTACGCTGTTTTGGTGGTTACATCTTGTGATGCCCCAACCAAGCACTACCGCAGTTGTTTCTCAGTGAGAGAACAGGTCAAATTCTAAAAAAACTCAAGGCTGTCATGTCCCATCCTTGTCACCAGTGTAATCGTCAGCAAGTTTCTAGGAGCGGTCGTCTATTCTCGCTGTTCCCGGGAACTCTCCGATTGTCGGACTATTGATACAGAGCACTGCAGTGCAATGCTAAAGCAATCCTTGGAGGCCGGCTTGCTTGAAATGAAATTTGTCGTTTTCATTTAGGACACATGAGGATATGGCTAAAGCTAGGCCCACAAATGCACGAGATGCGTTTGTCGGCCTGCTCGTGTGCTAGCTTTGACAGCGCTTACTTTTAGACTCGTACATAAGATCGTATAATTTCCGACGGACTGGTCCAGGTGGTGGAAGACGTAAAAACACCAAACTATGTAACAGTTTTACTTAAAAACAGTGAACGGCTTTCCAAACACACATTTCATAACCCCCGAGCGAGGTGAACATATTAATGCTAAGCAGGTTCTTTGCAATTCCTAAATAAAATTTGTTTGGTAGAGCTCTCCCTAAAATACCGAGCACGCACCCATGTCGCAATAAGCGTCTACCACCTACTTTTAAAACATGTAAAATATAGGCAGAGGACATATCAAGTCCCCACCCCGGCAAACTTCTGTGCTAATCGAGGTACTCCCAAGCGTTGGCTGCTTCTCCGAGAAGCCGGTGCAATGCAGTGAAGCTTTACGGAGCTTGACGCGAGAGGCACCAGACCACTGTACTGTGCCTATACAGTTTTATCAGACCAAACAAGGGGTTGCACCATTATGTGCCCTCAGCTCTCGGACCTAACAAGTGCCCATCTCCATTTTAAAGCGAAAGCATTAACTGGTCTCGTAGAGCAAGCTGACGTCATCGGTCTGAAGCGCGAAAACGGCAGATAGTTTCCTTCAATTCCATTGGCTGGCGCGCGTCGACGGGGCTCCCATTGGCCGCTGCGCTCGTCAGTTTCCACGACCGCTCACTCCATGGCGCTGCGTGTCCATCAGCACGAAGCGTCCAAGGTCAGCAAGGGAGCACACGCGCTGACTGCCGACGAAAAGTATGCAGCAGACGAAAAAGGGAGCGGACGAGCAGCTTGCATGCTTTCGCAATCACAACTAATAAAGAATGCTTAGGTGTACCTCAAGCTTTTTTTCGTGATTATCTTTATCTTTGACTCGCTCAGTGTTTCCCAGTATAGTTTCGTGTGTACTTTTTCATTGGCTGTGAAGTATGACCTTGAACTCGATTGCAGGCACAGTCTTGGGGCAGCCCGTGTGGGCCTTGGTCTACCTCTGCCTCCGCTGCGGAGACCTGGACGCCGCCGCAGAAGTGTGCCGGCGGGCAGGCGCCATGGCCGGCGAGCTGGCGCCACTCCTCGAGGAGTGTGCTGCGTCGGAAGACCGCCGCTTGGGGCCCAGCTCGGAGAACAAGGTGCGGCTCCAGTACACCCGGTCGGGCGGCAGTGCCTCGGGGGACCCCTTCAAGCAGGCCGTCTTCTGCGTGCTGGGTCGCTGCGACGTGGCCCAGGACCACGCCCAGGTGGCGACCACGGTGGAGGACTACCTGTGGCTCCACTTGTGCCAGGTGCACACCGAAGAGCTCCAGGTGCGTCTGTTGTTCATCTGCTTGCCGCTATTTTTGCCGAGTTTCGTCAAGAAACTGTCTTGCGGTGAGACGACACATGGACGTTGTCTGTGCTTTGGTTTGCTGGTGCGTAATCTTTCTGCAACGACCTAGGCTCCTCTGAAGGCCTCGGGGAGACATAGCAGTTAATATCTTCCTGAAGCACACCTGAAGCTAGGTGCTCACGAGTTTGTTGGCAGACTCGACAGTTTGAAAACGGACACCACGTTATGGGCATTGGTTTGGGAGGTAGTTCTACCTAGGGAGCCTTCATGTGCGCTTTGCTAGGGTGATGCCACCCTTTGTAATACCACTCGCTGACAAACCAGCAGCCCTTTGGGTTCTCAACGATAATCCGTGGGGCTTACAACCCTCCCGGAAACAAGCACCTTATCTCACAAGTTTGGAGCAGCGTTGTGGAAATCACGGTGGGAGGATTAGCATTTTCTCCCTCAGATGGGAGGACCGATGGACACAAGGGTCACTTTCCGGCGTACGGGGAAACAATAAGAGAAACAAAATGGCAGTGGAAGAGGGTGTGGGAAAGGGAAACAGGCAGTTGGCATCACTCTATGCGAAGTGCACATGAAGGCACCCTAGTTCTACCGATGGCATGTTGTTGACAAGGGTCTATTCTTACTAAATAATCCTTCAACAGATGCAACTTGTTTGGTAGCTAGCTTTCAGGAATCTGGCCCAGTGGTCTGTCGGTGTAGTATGCATATATACAATAGAGGAGTATTCACTCGTAGCAACCTCCAAGACGGAAAGGATAGAAAAAAAAAGTATGTAAGAGCCATTAAGGGGTCATCGTGTTGGCAATAATGTTGGTGTGTTTTGTATACTTTGCCTGTTCTCAAATTTCATGGCATGCAGCTTTAGCCGGCTTGGATGCTTACTCACCCTTCCATGTCAGACTGCCAAGAGTGAAAAGCATCATCTGCCTTTCATATAACCCAACGACTTTTTGTGGGCATTTCTTATAACTTTAGCAGTTCCTTACAAGTGAGGGTGTTCTACTAGGTGTGCTGAACTCTAGTATCAAAATGTTTGTTACACGTGTCCCAACGTTTGCCGAGTCACGTAATCAGGGTCGACTCTCGCCGTCGCAGGCTGGCGAAGAGGAGCCTCAAGACTGGCTGACCCTGTCTCGCCTCCAGCGCATCCTCCTCGAAGACCACGGGGAGTCACACTTTGACGCTCAGAACCAGCCCTTCCTCTACTTCCAAGTGCTCTTCCTGACGGCCCAGTTCGAGGCAGCCATCGAGTTTCTCTCCCGCTACGAGCCGCTGCGCTGTCACGCCGTGCACGTGGCACTCGTGCTCTACGAGGCCGGCCTAGTGACGCCGCCACACTCGGTCCAGGCCGGTCTGGTGTCCAAAGCACCGGACGGTGGGCCGCCCCGGCTCAACCTGGCACGCCTGGTCACAAGCTACACGCGCAAGTTTGAGGCCACGGACCCCCGCGAGGCCCTCAACTACTTTTACTTCCTTCGTAAGTTAAAGGGGGTCCACGGGGAGAACCTTTTTGTGGCGTGCGTCAGCGAGCTGGTCCTCGAGACGCGGGAGTTCGACGCACTCCTGGGGAAGATGGAGCGCGACGGGTGCCGGCGACCCGGCGCCGTGGACCGCTTCCAGGCGGACACGCACCGGATCGTCGAAGCGGTCGCGGGAGACTGCGAGAAGCGTGGACTCTACGAGGACGCGGTCCGTCTGCTCGACCTGTGCGGGAAGCACGACGAGGCAGTTCGGCTCCTCAACCGGCTGCTCGGGCAGCAAGTGCCGCTGCCGTCGGGGCCGGCGTGGGAGCGGCTCCACTCGCTCGCGGTGGAGCTGGCGGAGCGGTACCGCAGCCACGGGACCAACGCGTCCGCAGACGCGACGTCGGCGCTCTACCTTCTGCTCGACCTCGGGCTGTTCTTCCTTCAGGCGCGGCAGGGGCAGGCAGTGCTGGCGCTGGAGACAATGCGCAAGTTGCAGATCATACCGCTCGATCCGTCGGAGGTGGAGGCGAGCGCGAGAGCGCTCCCGCAGAGGTCGGAGGAGGTTCGTCGGATCTTGGCAGACGTGCTGTTGGCCGTCATGAACCTGCTGTATAGCCGCTACAAGGAGCTTAAGGGAGGAGAGAGGGACGAGGAGAGGAAGCGCCTCAAGTTGCAGGCGCAGGCGATCCTCGAGTATGCGGGGATGATACCTTATCGGATGCCAGGCGACACCAATGCACGCCTGGTCCAGATGGAAGTGCTCATGAGTTGAGTGCCTGCTTCGAGCTTCTGCTCAACTCAGTTTGTATGTAATAAATTCCAATTTCATGTTTAAATTCCAAATGTGTACTTGTTTGGAGTGGCAGCAATTGACAACAGCTCAGTGAAGCTGATATTATACTCCGTTTCACCTTTTCATGGACCATAGTGGACGCTACAAGTCCTCCCAGCCAATCCAGTGCCGCAAATGTATCGTGGGACTATGCACCCCGCACGTCGCTGCTCTCCCCTCCCAAAGGTCACGTGGCACATGTGCAGTATTCGTAACCTATGGGTGGCACGCTAGTTCCTATCAAAATGGCTGTCATCTGGATGATCGTCGTAAAACAGCAGTACGAGGGTGGGCCTGTGACGCGCAAGTAATTCTAATTTTGTGAAATGCGAGCCATGTAAGAGCCTCGCTTCATACTTCCGCATCAGGAAGGTGTAAGCAAGCCTTCATTCTGAAGCCAATCACCCAGGAGCTAAGGAGTGCGATTCTCACTCCGCAGTACCACCATTGCTGAAAGTTGCAAGTAAGAGTGGCTCCGATGGCTCGTAACAGGCTCTGCAGTTCATCTTAAGGTAAGGTAAAACAAAGTATAGCACTTTATGCTGAATTTCGACCGTTTATTACAGCTCTGAAAGAAAAAAAAAGCCTGACAAAGAAGTTTGTACTGCTTCAAATCAACCACCCCAATTCGCAAGCTAAACGCCACGAGTCCTTGCTGGCAACAGCTTGCAGAGCTTCAATATGCCAAAACTGGGCGCGCTGAGGAAGTTAGCAGACAGCACAACCTCTTGCTCACAAAAAGTGCCACTTGTATATCCAAGCATGCATTGCGACTCCAGCTTATGCTGTTCAACACCATACCAAGTATGTTCATAGCCGGTGCACTTGTGCCATGGGGGTAACAAAATACGCTAGGTCTTTGCATCCGTCAATCGCTATGACATGGCACAGGTATATTTTTCAATGAAATTTGCCTAAATGCAATTTAAATTTTTCAAGACGTTCCGTTTTCGTCATCCTGAACAGGGTCTGAAAGCTGTACAGTAAAAATGTGGAGTTGAGTAACCATACCCATAAGCAAAGTTAACTATGAGTCGACAGAAAAGAAAGATGCCAACAGAGGGAATCACTGGAGAAGGCGAGCGGGTTGAACATGAATACATAAAATTGAAAGAATAAAACAGTAGAGGGGGAATCAGTTCAACGATCTCCAATACTGGCATCCTGTTCCTTTTAAAGCTTCTCCATTTCAGAATGTATTCATTGATGATCATGCGACATTTGAACTGTCCTCATGCCGGCCAAACGTTTTGCCATTTTCTAAGCAAGTTGGATATTTGGAATATAACACTGATCCCCCACATTTAGGAAGACACTGTCCCGGGCAGTTCATATGTATCATTACTGGAGTACAAGGTACTATTCAATGACTGAGAGTTTTAAAAAGCTTCATGCCCCACCATCATTGGGAGCTACGCCAACCCCCAAGAACTCAACCAAATTCTAAAAGTTCCCCGAATGCTCGGTATATAACTGCTTTTCTAAGAAAGTGACAAAAACTTGAAATGGCACAGGTTGCAAGCTAAATCCTTTATACAGCACAAGAACAACAAAGCACAAGAAAAATAATTTACAGGTGGTGGCCGCCGCTGCGACCTCTGCAGATTGTTTACAGGGTTTCCGTCGATGCTCTTCCCGTGACCGGTTATCGTCTAAAACACTTTCTGGCAACAGTAGCTCTGTACAAGTCATCACAATCTAGGTAGCGTGCAAAGATGCAAGCATCCCTTCGTCCGGGCAGCACACGGCCCATGCGACACGGAGCATTCAGCTAATGGCAAGAATTGTCTCCCGTCATTTGTTCGTGTGTCCATAACGTTCGCTGCACCGACCACGAGCTTTGGTATCTGCTCTTCCTATTTTTCCTTTCTGCAACTCTTTTCGTACGTTTTGAGAAACGTTTATCACAGTCTCGACGAGAAGATAACGAGGCCAGGGATGAAGAAACCGCAACCAGGCGGGCACCGAGACCGTCCCGAAGTTGACGAGATTCGCCGACGTCGCGTGGTCGGGAAGGGAGGGGGGGGGGGGAGGGGGGAGCGCGACCGACGACGAGTGCGGTGCGAGAAACAAACGAGTCAATAAATAACGACAAAAATGGGGAAATAAAATGTACACTGAAACAACCTAGGAACGTAGTCGTCGGAGCCGAATGCTCGACGGCCTTTGGAACAACTGGATCGTTTCGTGGCGCGCCTTCGCCGACGACGGCTCGCACGACGACGGAAGGAACACAGCGAGAGAGAGCTCAGAACGTGCTCCACGATTGACTAAGAACTTCCTAGGTATTATAATGAAGCCGGAACAGCCGAAGCGAACGCTGCACGTCGTAGAAAACCCAAACTCGCGCTTCGCGATATATTTTTTGTGACATTTGGCGACATTTTGTGACAAAAGAGAGTGCACAGGACTTGGACTGGTTTACACAAGCCTGTTTCCTTTCGAGCAAAGCGCTAACTGGAACAAAGGCTTGCCTTCTGGTATCTTACAGAATTGTTTCACAAACCAGATACACTATAATTGACCGTTGCCTGCAGCCCGACAGTGCCAAAAAGAGCACTCAAGCCCAGTTGTTACGGGCTGCAATTACCCCCTTTGTTCGTTATTGCAGACAACCCCTTACCATACTACGTCATCTGTTCTCAGGTGCCTTCTGGCCATGTTTGTCACCCAAAGCTGCCGTCCTCAAACCACGGCATGTCACAGACACGCAACTGCTTTTGAGCACCGCAGTTTTGGATGACCTAGATGAGATACTGAAACGAGAATGTTTTTGAAAAATCGGGTCATTGCTCTAGGCACTCCAAGGGATCACCCATTGAGTCGTTTGTTAGTCTTCCGATACACCTTCGTGTTCTCTGCTACTGTCGATCGACTCCCACCTATACTTTGTGCCACTTGAAGTCGGAGTTGCAGTTGACGCCACGCAGTAACGGGGTCTATCACGCGGGGACAAAAGCACAACATCACAGCACGCATTAACCGCAGTGAACTTGCGCTTTTAGTTCAGTCGCGTCTCGTTAATACGGACGGCCATAGAACGATTCGTCCATAATAACGAGACAAAGATGCACGTATTTACTGAGTCCGTCCCCGCAAATTTTGTCTCTAGCAAGGTATCTAATTTAATGGGATCCATATTAACGAGACGTCGCTGTATACGTATCCGTACTTGTACGTATTTTGGCCTTAGGCTACGCTCCAACTTACAACAAAGCAAGGTACTGTTTCAAACACTCTCTTTCGTCAACAAATTGACGCCTCCTTTCACTACCTTCTCCAAATGCCTCGGGTCCCTACAACGTGAACGCATTGGCAACCAGCTCGCGGCGTCTCCTTCGACGAAGAAGGAGTTTGCGTCCGCGCCAACGATCGACCGCTCTTCTGCTACGGTGCCTAGAATGCATCTTCGACCGGTGCGTCTACTTCGGCAACCGTCGGGAGCGGAGTTCACGGCGCGCCGTCCAGGGCGTCGGTGACCCTGCCGCTGTTGGCGCCGCCCTCTCGCAGCGGGGCCTCCGCCGGGGCGTGCTAGGAGCGGTGTTCGGGCACCGGGGCCAGCTTCTCATACATGAGGAACACGATGCAGATGTTGGGCGTCACGTGGAGGAAGTAGGCCGTCACTCCCTTGTAGAAGCCACGCAGACCCTCGTACCTGCAGGGCGGCACGGCGCGCCACAGTGAGTCGACCACGCTCGAGCCGAGCACCAGTTAGTTCCGCCGCAACGTCGGGGGACTGCCACCGAAAAGTGCGCCACGACCAGACAAAAACGGGGCAACGTCTCGAGGAATTTTACTGGTCTCCATTTTATGGACTTTATCGGTTTTATCAGAAAAATGCGGAATCCTGAGCATAATCTGCAATGCTCGTTTTGCTTCCGAGGACAATTCAGCTTTAGAAGGTTCAGAAATGATTACAGATCATGTACAGCTTTATGCACTTCGGCACACTGCTAGATCTTTATGAGTTGCGACGTATTTGCTGCAATCACTGCTGCGCTTGCTACAACTATAAGTTGGTACACATTGCTAGTTTATAGAGACTGGTTCACACGTTTCAGAGTGAATAACCGCGTTACAATGGCTCGCGACCGCTTACAACGAGATGGCATGCTGGCGCCGTCCATTGGGTACCCCTGGAACCGTTTCCGATCAGCGTACAACTAGACTGAAGTTTTAGCGGTATTTGCCAGATGAAATCTATGCGCCATTGACAAGAAATGGTCGCTTAAAACGTAGGAATTACTGCGAGCCCGTGGTAAAAGAAAGACGCGTAAAAAAAGGAGGAAATATAAGCAGGTGGGAGGATTTTTCAATTTTACAAGATAGATGGTGCCGCTGTGTTTGCTCGTCGTATGCAATTACAAATGGTTGCAACACAGTCGAGCGCACTCAAATGCAAACGTGTGAATTAGCCTTAACTTGCTACGTCTGCAGCGGAACCTCCAGAGTCGGACGCCTTTGTAACTCGCACATCTTGCATTGTGACGAGATGTGTTCGCCACGTCCCGTGGCGAACACCTTTCTAATTTGCACACCTCCCTTAGTCAGACATCCCAAATGCTTTGAAGGTTCCCCTGCAGCTTCAAATTTCTGCGGTTCACTCGGCATGTTTCGCAAGAGCCTGCGCGTGGTTCTGGGGGCCACTGACCTCCATGTCCTTGCCACCACCTCCTTGAGTCCCTGGTAGTCCCTGTGCTGGTCCTGCAGACGGGCGCGCACCAGCTGGTACGGGTACGTCACGCTCGCAGACAGCAGCTTGGACAGGGCCGCAAACGCCAGGTATTGCACCGTGCCCTGGGAATGCAACGTGCTGTTAGATCACACGCAGCTCGCAGACGGTTTTAGCACGGATAATGTTAAGTGGCTCAGACCTAGTCATTTGCGTTCCCCAACCAGGGACGAAAGTTGATAAGTCGACTGCCAGCCAAACACTGTCACGGTGCTCATCTTCTCGCCGACTGGACACCAGTGCCAGCCTCACAACTTCTTGGAGTGCATCCGCGTTTCTCCCAGCAGGGGAAGATGTCGCGTGTTCGGAGGTACAGTGGCGCTCTGCTCCGTTAAACAAGCACGCTGTGGGCTACCACGAAGAAAGAGCAAAAAAAAAGCAACGGAAAAGTAGAGGAAAAAAAAAAAAAAGAAGCAAACAATCCGTCAGGCGTGTTTACTTTGCCACAACAGTAGCAACGAGTTGAGGTACGTTTTGAGTATTTGGGTTATTTTTTGGCTGCAAGTTGGCGCCAAAGCTCTGCTCGGCGTTGTCGCGTCTTAATTGTTCTGGTTTCCGTGCACTCCGTCTACCGCGTCTCGCACTCCAACAGGTTTTTAGAAAGTCGCTTTTACATTGCAACTGCAGAAGATGGCACCAACAAGTAAGGCAACCACAGAGCCCTCACGTGCTTTCCGCGCACGACACAGGCCTGCTTCGCTCCATCCAGTCTCCACTTGTGTACACAATTTCCTTGCTTTAACACATAACATTCTTTGCTACCGCTGCACCTTTGCCACGCTAGTATGGCAAAGTGGCAACTTTGATTTAGTTTACAATAGACTTTTCTTTAAAAGTTAGAATACCAGCCCCGTCCATGAGCCAAACTTGCTGCTCAAATGGTGGCATTACAAAGCTTCTCTATACCAGGAAATGTGAACGTTTTCAAAAACACAGAGCAGAAAGTGGGGAATTTAGTCGAACAAGTCGGTCCTTGTACGTTGCCTTCGCTTCACTAAGTCGAGGCTTCTTGGTGTTAGGCGGTCCCGTTCTCCTATCGCCGCCATTAGTGAGGAAATGTTGAAGCTCTTGAGACTGCCGCTAGATGGCTCCGACTTTTGAAAACGGTCCATTACTTTACCATTTTATTCATTTACAGTTGCATCCACCCTCCTGTTTGGCTAGAGCATAGGCATTGCTGCAATAAAGCAGTGCAGAAGCGTACACTGTTTGCAGCAATGCACACAAGAGGGAGTGTTTGGATCATAACTGCATCAAAGCATGGCTCAGGCATGCTCCCAAATTTTTTAAAACTAGGAAAGTTTGGTTGAGACAACCAAAACAATCTGGACATCCCGAAAACCCTAGAGGCACTCTGGGGAATCAAGTTTCAGAATGAGAAAAATCTTTTTCTCCTGTAGAAAGCTGTTACCTCTTATTTCCGACTCCCTAATACTTGGTGACAACTGCCTACACTCGGCTTCAACTTTTCCTTTTCTGTGCGACATTGTCGAGGCTGGCCTAGTTTCCATTGAGCTGCCAAAGCTGCTCAAGTGAGCACGTAGCTTTGTGTGGCGACTCCTGCGCATGGCAGCGTGTGCGATGGAAGCACAAGCCGAAGCCACGTGGTTGTGCAGCAGACCGTGCTGCACAACTATGCCAGCCTTGAAGTGTCATGCAGAAAAGTCAGTGTTGGGAAAAGAACTTCTAAAACACACCTCAAGTAAAGTACAAAGTACCTAATGTGAGATGTTGTGTACTTGGAGTAAGGTAGTAAGTCCACTGGGAAAAATGTACTTGAACTAAACTACTATAAATACAAGGTATTTTCAGCGTAAGATACAAAGTCCTTTTTAACATAACCCTTCATGATGCTCTTTCATTTCCCTATAGGAGTACATCTCTTTTTTGTTTTTGGTTTGCCTTGTTTGAGGGGTAATCGGGGTGCGTCAGTTGTTTTGAGAAATGGCGGCGAATATTGGATAAAGTCAAGTGGCCGCAGAGTAGTTATTTTCAGAAAGTGTGCCAAAATTGGAAGGTCTCTCCAACTTCTAAATCTGGCATCGCGCATGCACTAGTTTTCGCACAAGCGGGTTAAACATACTAGGAGAGAGCATGACGTCAACCCCGTAGCTTCTGCAAGCTATCCTCTCGTCGAGGAGTGACCTCTCCTAATATTTTTAACCCCCTCACTTGCACTGACCGGGCGAGATGTGGCGAGAGTTTGAAATACTACGGAAAGGCCACCCCCAATATAAACAAAGCAATACGTCGTCTGCTCGCGTTTCTGGTGAGAGTAAAATATCCCTCCCACTATTTCTTCTGAGTTGACAAAGCAACACTTTGTGACACAAATTTAACAAGACCAAATTTGGGGAATTTGGGGAGTCGAGAGTTGTATTTTTCTGGAAAAGTACTAAAAGAAAATATGTTAAGTAAAGTACAAGTGTATACTTGGAGAATGTACTTCAGGTAAAGTACAAGTTTTCTAAAGCTACATGAAGTAGTACTTTAAGTAGAATGTACTTAAAATACTTCCCAACACTGACAAAACTTGATGCCAAGCATAGACGGTGCCACAGTACAGAGCAGTCACCGAGTCTGCTTGCAGAATAAAAACAAGCATCATAGTTTTTTTCTTATATCTTTCCATACAGACTCCTTTGAGGTTTGAAACCTTCGAATGATGTGACTACGAGAAAAATGCACATTCACAGACTAAGACCAGGTTTTTGTCTATGACCTCGGAGTACAAACGCTACCCACGACAGGCACGTAGCCAGGGGGGGGGGGGGGGGGGGGGGGGGGGGTTACGGGGCCCGGCACCCCCCCCCCCCCCGAAATCTTCAATTTTGCTGGGACCTCCTCTCCCCCCTTTCCATCATACAGCATTTTGTCATAAGTGCCAGCCTGACCCACAACAACCAACGTGCCGGGTAGCAGCTATGTCTTGTGACAAACTACGCTCGGGTCTGTAGGGCAGTTAACTTAGACCATGCATCCCATAACACGATGGAACGACTCTGCCAGGCAACGCGGGATGTGCCTTTTTGTCGCCAGGCTTCTCGCTTCGTGACTTGTTCTCACTGGCTAAACCCAGAATGTCATGGACTGCAGAGCAATGGGTAAGATGCCTGGGACCCGGCACGCCCCGCATTCGACCGTCGGTAACTACGCCAGATTCGACGCCAGCGAGGAAAGGGCGGGAGAGACACGCACCAGCTTGGCCTGTGCGGGGATGTGGAAGTGGCTCATGTAGGCCTTCTTCATCTCCTCGTAGATCATGAACTGCAGTGCTCCGTGGGAGACGTTGAACATGCCAGGAAGGAAACCCTGCACCCCACAAAAGAAAGTGAGTGAGACAACGGTGCACTACATGCACGACGCGGCTGGGAAGCGCTTGCAACTCAAATATTGATTTTGTGACTTCCAAGTTTTCAGTGGGATACAAAAAAGAGACGTTTACAATCACCTGTAACGCCAAAGTAGAGCGCAGCTCTTGAGGAGGATGAGGGGAAGAAATGGAGAGGCGGGTGTGCCCCTCCTCCTCATCTGTACCCTCTTCTCCTGCTCCTCTCCCGTTTAGCGGGAAAATTTTCGCTAAATTTCCCACTAAATTTAGCGGAAAAAATTACCCGCTAGATTTAGCGGGAACATTTTACCGCTAAACTTAGCGGGGAATTTTTTTCACTGAATTTAGCCGGGAACTTTTTCCGCTAAATTTAGCGGGGAAATTTTTTCGCTAAATTTCACGGGCAAACTTTTCACCTAAATCTTGCAGGGAAATTTTTCCGCTAAATTTAACGGGGAAATTTACCCATGATCCAACGCGCGGCGACGTCATTATGAAAAAACGTCTCATAATGCAACGCACGGTTACGCCGACGCTGCTCAAGCTGGAAACGAACACCCAAGAGCTGCGCTCTAAAAGCTCTACATTCTGTGGCCACCAGCAACAACAGCCTGAACCTTTGTCTAAGTTCAGTCACCTATTGAGGTTTCAGCCCGCCTGCCCCCCCCCCCCCCCTCCCCATTCCCATTCCCCCCTCCCCATAATCAATGGCTGAACTGGTCTTTTGATAGCTTGGGCACCCCACAGTGACAGTCCTGGCACAAATATTTTCGATCTAATAAAACCTTAAATTATATTGTACAGTATGTTCAACACTTCAAGTATATATATATATATGTCTATATTTTTTTCTTATTAAACAAACAAGCAGCAAGTATTAAGTGGCAAGTAATACTTGCCCAATCTGCATTTTAAATTGGCTCACAGTGACCAATGATTCTAGTTTGTCTGGCTATGTTTGCCTCATACATTCACCCCTGCTTCCCCCTTTCTCTCTCCCAGAGGCACAAAGGTGCCTTTGATCACATCCGGTGCAAATGCTCATTATCAATAGCTCTGGATCTATGCCAGCCTTTCAGCGATAAGCTGCAGCTGTACATACACAACGTGCCAGTATCATATCCGTCCAGCCCTCAATCACATCCGCCCGTGACAACACCTAATCTCCAATTAATTTTCAGTAAACATGTTCTGCAATTGTTTCCTCAAAGCCACTTCAGTGGTGGCAAGGACGACGGCACTTGACGATAAGGATTCCATGGAAAACCTTCCGACGCCCCAAACTGGAAGCTGAAGTTTGGATGACAAACCGTGAAGCAAAGTCTTTAAAGCCAGAGTCACATGGCTCCTACATCGTGCAGAAGACACAGTGTTTGCCACAGACGCGATAACAAAATTGTCTGCGAACACACCTCAAGCATGTTTGAGGCATGTTTGCTTCAAACACATCTGCAGACGGTTTCTGTATGACCAATTTGACAAGGATTGTCATACAGGTAAGAAACACGCCTCAGACATTGCTTGCATACTGTCTTTTTGTACAATGTGCGAGAGGCGTGACTGCAGCTCTTGTACGACATGAGGCTTGCAAAGGTGCGTCTTTCCTTCAAAACCTTGCGACTGGTTTCTGCCACTCTTGCGATATGCGTGGACCTGACGATGAACGCCGATGATGGAGCTTCGAGATTGGCCTTTGTCGACCGTGACTCTCCACACCAGAAGCAACGGGCTAAAAGATCACAAGATTACCAACATGTCCGGGCTTCCGACGCGTGCACGAGCAACTGTACTCTTCCACCTAGTCATGCACAAAAATTTTCTAAGAATAATGACCTTACAAAAAAAAAAAAAAAAAGTTAGATGTGTCAGAACCTGCAAGGATGACGCAGCAGGCTACGCAGCAGCAGTAAAGCGGTATGCTGCGCAACGCTGTCGGTGCAAATGCGACGTCGGCGTTTTTCTGCGTTTTATGCTCGGACGGCATACCGACGGGCACCAAACTTGACTGCTTGGGTTACTGCCCCAAACGGGGACATTCCGTCACGCTAGCAGTTTTTATGGCAGCCGTTTAATTTTAAAAGACAGCAAAAACTGGCGACCACTCGATTGTGCTGACAGTGTTACGCTGCACACGTAGCAAGATTGCTCATGCACCAGGCTGATGCAACATTTTAGGACATAAACACCCCAGGATGACGGTAATGTCTCGGATCGCTTTCTATAGGTGACGACGCAACAAGAATGTTGCATCGCCACTTCTGCCCGACCCAAGAGGCGGCGTGAAAATGTTGAGTTTCCACTTCTTGCATGATCCACTTCATTCACACGTCTTGTCAGACACATATAAAATCTGTCCAGCAATAAAGCCCATACCCTGTAGAGTCCCGTGACGCCCTCGTACTTGTAGACTTTGTGAAATGCATCCAGCATGCCGGAGTAGCGGCGAGTGGCCGGCACGTCCATGTGGTGATCGGCGTACTGGAGGCACATGCGCGTCTTCACCATGGTGATGGGGTTGGTGATCACTAGCGTCAAGAGCCCTGTCAAAGCAAGAAGAAATCCAGTCAACATATTGGCTGTGGGCGTGCAGATATCTATTTGCTGCAAAGATCAGATCAAACATCCAGCAGAGGCTACCTTAAAATATCGAGCAAGCACCCACACCCCAAAGTCACAGTGCACTAGTGCACGCACGTCGAGCTTCATTACATTGCTCCGGTGTGTTTGGACCAGGGCCGTAACCAGGGGGGGGGATAGGGGGTTCTGACCCCCCCCGAAATTTTTTTCTGGGTACGGCCCTGGTCGGTGCACTTGCAGCCAGCCGATTTTAATCTCCACCTCTGCGCACGCGCAGTGGCACCGGTCGGCTACCGGGTACCAAACCGGGACCGGTTCTCCGGTTTGCTATAACTCTCGATTATATGCCACCGATGCACATGATTCATAGGCGAAAATAAGACAATAGACATTTTCAAAATGGCCGCCGTTGTCCCCGAAAACCCCCCCCCGAAATTTTTTTCTGGGTACGGCCCTGGTTTGGACAAGCAGCCGACAAGAAAGAGTACCTCGGTTAGCCAGGTGTGCTCGGAAGTCTGGGGTGGGTGCTTGAGATGTTACCTTTGCTTATTTTTCAAACTTTCCAAAATTAGTCGGTGGGTGCTTATTGTGACGTGGGCGCATGCTCGGTATGTTAAGGTTGTTCAATGAAATTTCTCAGCAAGATCTCAAAAAAATTAAACCAGCTACACTTCATCCTTGAGCAGTGCTGAGCAGGAACAGGTGCAAGCTTATGGTATTAGAATGCATTTTCCAAGCGAGAGTGCTCGTGTTGCATGCAAGCATGTTGCAGAGTGATTCTGTACTTCCGATAGCATTGCGCACAACCTATAGAAGAAGTCTGATTCGATCATACCAAGGATGAGTAGGCCTAGCAAAAACGAGTAATAAATGGGAAGGGCATGACGTACTACGAAATTGAGGTGGTGCTTGCTCATACTGATTATAGGTGCACATACTCCCTATGCTACGGCCAATTCTCAAATCTAGAGAGTGGTAAGGGTGGGTGCTCGCATGACTAATGGTGCACGCTCATTATTACATGGTGCAGCTGATTCTCAATGATACAATCCCTTGGTTATGGGCTTTATTTGAGTTAGTTTGTACATATTGGGGAAGGGTGAGCTTGACCTTACAGACACAAATGAAGGACAGCTGTTTTGTCCTGTTCGTTTCCTTCGCTCGTTTCAGTTAAGTTCAAGCTCACCCTACACCCATATGATCACTCCCTGTTTCTCTGCAAATACAAGTGATTGTAATTCAAATGCCAGATTAATTATAGCAATGGCAAAGGGGGGAGGGGGGAGGAGGGGCACATTTGGCACCCTTATCATTAGGCTCGGCCACAGCAGTTGCGGGTCTCAAAATAATGCAGTGAATAGAATACAGACGTCGGTTGGCTCTGTGGCGTATGGCAAGAGTGCCCTTAATGAGAAACCCAAAATCTATCACCCCTTTTATTCTAATGGTTACCAGGACATTTTACGAATTACACAAGTTTAAGGGCGCGTTTCGTTCCCAACGTTTTTGTGTTTTGTTCATATTCGGGGAATTCCTTACAAAATCGTCCTCACCGGGCGAATGATAACCTTCGCCCCCCAACGTCAGAGATGACGTTGATGGTCGGAAGCTTAATCGTCTGGCTGCCTATCAAGAGGAAGTCGCACGAAGGACGGGACCGCGGAACGGGAGATAACACAACACAGAAGATAACACGCTTGCGTAGGTTTCTATGCGTGTCCTCGCAGCCACGGGACACGTGTCGAGGCTTGACGTCTGACAGCAACTCGGAAGGGGGTGGACGCAATTTTTCGGTAGTATATCACAGCCAACAAGAATAGAGAGGTAGGTGTGAGGTGGACAGAATGAGGAAGATGCTAGTTAAAGTGCAGTCAAATCAAGTAAATGGGGGTTATCCCTTGGTGGCATTTTTTTCTTTTTTCTTTTTGCAAGTTCAGCACTATATGTTCTATTGGATCAAAACTATGTTGGTTATAGATGCATGTGTTAAAGTCTTTCATATATAGGAAGACAAAGCATCCATAAACATTACTTCTGGGTACACTACATGGCAGTACAAGGCATTGCTAACAATGCATAATCTGGTTGCATCAGATACATATATCCGAGATAACTTTCTGGAGAAAAGTTATCCCTACAAACAGGGCTCTAAGCAATTAGCAGCTGAACAAATGAAAGTCAATATTCCCAGTTTGGCTCAAATGGCAAGAAAGCTACCCTTAAAACTACAGCAGCATGGTGGAATGTGCCAATCTGCAGTACCAACTTGGGCAGCAAGGATATGGCACCCAACGATAACCCGCACGGGAAATTCATAACCAGGTGCAAATTGTGTCTAGGCTAACCGTATCGCTCAGCGTACATATCTGGAGACAGAATGAACCAATGTCTGCTAACATAGTGTTCTGGTGTCCAGAGAAGACAAGACATCACTAAGGCAAGTATGAGCTAATGTTGCACAAACATGGCATTTTGTTGCACTGTCACTTTCTCTCAGGTGCATCAACACTTAGACGAATAGCCTTGCAGAAACTACGACAGTTGTTTACATGGGTGCTCGCAGGCACGTAGACAGGATTTTGTTTCGGGGGGGGGGGGGGTCTGCCAATGACAAAATGCTGTATGAGGGGGAAGGGGGAGAGGAGATCCCAGCAAATTGAAAGATTTCAAAGGGGGGAAGGGGGGGGGGGGGGGGCTCCCCCCCCCCCCCCCCCCCCCTTCCTGGCTACATGCTTGGGTGCTCGTTATAAGGGGGTTCATCCTAAGCTAAAATTAGTCCAGCTGGGGGTCGATTTCAGAACTGGTTCGGGCTGGATCCCTGTGACTGTTCATAAACCAGATCTAGCCGAATCAATTTTCATCTGGGTCTAAAGCAAGGCTGTCATAAGCAGGGGCAGGTTTATGGGTCAGGCTTGGTGGGGGTCCCTCCCCCACCTCTCTCCCTTTAAATCCACCCCTGGTCATAAGAGAGGTACACAGCAAGTGCTGCGGCTCTTTACCCGATTCTGCGGCAGCCATCATGTGCCTCCCAGGACCGAGTTGTTTGTCGGCAGACCCTTCAAGCATCCAGCTCTTGATGGAGTTGTAGCTGTTGGGGAAAAAGAAGAACAGAATTGGCAATTAAGGATACGAACCAGGCATACTGCATGGCCTCTGACACTTCCTAGTTATTCCTCATTTCATCCCTTCCTTGTGCCATGGGCTCCCGATTTAGTCATAATTCTAATATAATTTATATTTGTGTGAAACTTCTTGAGACCATCCCTCCAAGACACCACTGCCAAGATACATAAAAAGCTTCCAGCCAACTTCTACAGTCTAGTTCACCATTTGTGTGTAATAAGGAGCTTTTTTTCTTTCAGTTTTGTCTTCCCATTGTCAGTATTGCACGCACATCTGGACCTTTGACTGTGCTATACCTTTAAAATACTGAAAAGCACTCGTCACATGCTTGCTGGTATGTAAAAGATGCCAAAATTTATTCAAATCCTTCCCCAAGAAATTAGAATACATTTTGCAATTAATTAATAGGTTGTGTGTCCCTCAGATTCACAACTTGAGAAGACACGAAAAAAAAGTGTTTTAGAACTAAGTGCAATTGTAGATATCCCTGAAAGGCAGCTCGAACCAAATACTTTGAAAGACCGTAAACACATTCGACGTCGGGTCACGGCCATGCAAGTCGCATCTAGCAAGCTGAAAGCATACTGCTTCATCATCTGTCCTCCACTTTTCACGTAATGACAAACAAGGTTTCAACACACATGAAAGAGATGTTGCCTTCATGCATGCTACGCACGAGCGCTTGCTATACATAGCGAACACGAAGGCAAGTCACGCTTGAAAGAGAAGGAAGTAAGCATGATGACACGCTCGACAAATTTGTCAACACAGCAACCTTCCAACCGTCATCTTAGCTGCACGCCAGGTTCAAATGGAGACCTACCCTAATGGCTCTTGCGGGAACCTTGCCCCTTTAATTCCGTTGTGCTGCACGGCTGGCCACCGCCACAACTCTATCATTATGTGCACGAAAAGAAGAGTGTTTGATTGTTCACGGTTGGCTTCCCTCCGGGGATCTGGTCTCGGATGCCCTTTCGGGACTGCGACAGATTGTCAAAAACCGTTCGCACACTCGCATTTGCTTAAGGCCGAGTTCTTGCGGTCTCTTGCGACGGGAGAACGCTGGCAGGGTGGCACCATCTATGAGGTGACCTTGGAACTGCATTTCACTAGAGTGAAGGTTTTGCGGTATCTGCGATATAAAGTGTATGCATCGTCTATAAGAAATGAACTAGGATTCCGTGTTTTCAGAGTTTATTTTTTGAGAAATTCGGAGGGCGTTTTTCAGAGTTTATTTTTTGCCGGAAATTCGGGGCTTATCAGAGTTTATTTTTAGCAGGAAATTCGGGGTTTATCGGAGTTTACTTTTGCTAGATTTATAATTCTCAAAAATTCTGGTTTAATTTTACTCTGTTCTTGGTTTTTCTTTTCTTCAAAATAAATATAAAAAGTATCTGAACAAATCTTGAAAACAAGTGTTACTATGATAAATGTCAATACTTTAAAGTAGTCAGGCAAGCATAAAACCCTCAGCTGCCCTTTCCACCCTACGAAATCTACAAGTTTAAATCTCTCATTGTTACAAAAACACAACCCCTGCTCTCCCTAAGAAGCATAAATAGTGCATGGTCTAAACTGGAAATGGGAACAGTGGCTTTCGTCATGGTCCAGAGGTACTTTGGCCCACTGTACCGAACTAACCTCGATGAGATAAACGGGGACGCTTCGTTCTGTCAATAGTTCAAAATTTAAAAAAGAAACTGAATTGTTTTTTTATTTAGAACCACTAGCCCTGTGCTCTGACAAACATTATTAGTAAAATACCGTCTTTTTCTTTTATTTTGCCATCGTGACTTTGAAATTCTGAGTTCTACAGCGAGCTGCCAAAAAGTTTACCGACGAGTATTCTTAGGAGTTAATCGGATTTATCCAAAAACACGGAACCCTACTTATAACACTGCTAAAAGTTGTCCGAGCCAAAAAATCAAATATACGGAAATGCCAAGTGTTTAACAGCTACCCAATACATGGCGGCAGTGTGTCGTAAACGATTTTAAAGCACACGGTTGTAAGCAGTCGCAAGTGTGTGAACCGGCCTTTAGGGGGCCTTGCAAGAAGAGCGTGGTAAGTACGCCTGGTGTGAATGCGTACTCCGGCCGCTGTGAGAACCACCGTCGCTCGGTCGTAGCGTCGTTGGGACTTTGTAACGGCAATAAACCGCTCCATTCAAATCTCTCTGCGGTACCTCTTCTGCGTCATTCGTGTATGTCTGCGCGCGACGCAGGAAGCAACTGCAATCTCGACACGGGGGCAGTCCCGCTTGAGATGGCAGCCAGGTGGTTAGGTTAGAATCCAACTTGGTTTAAATGATTGCGAGTTTTTAGGATTGATTTCTGAAATGTTAACTGATACAGTACAGTGCAAATTTGGTAGAAGCAATGGCACATGATGAGAAAAAAGAACGGTAGGAAAAGCTACAAGCAGAAGTAACACAGGAACACACAGCACTGAATGGTATGTTGGAAGGATGCCCTGTCTGTTTTTCTCCGTTTCTTCTTCTATGTCAATTTATTTTGCTGTGAAAGCAACAACAAAAAAAAAAAAAACAGTATGCAGCTAACAAAAAGACAGGGATCTGCAGTTGACTAAAAAGGAAAGCGGTCACATTGCTGTAACTATGGCTCACTTACAAGGGAGTCTTAAGCAAGGAGAAGAGTGGCGTGGCAAGTGAAAAGAGCAGAGGGGGAAAGGGAAAGAAAAATATACTCAAATGGAGAAAGGTAAAAAAAAAGAGGTCAGGATCGAACGTTAGAATGTGAGAGGGTATGAGCAGGGAAACAGGGGCAGCGCGTTAGAGAAGGTCAGGTCAAGAGAACTAGGTCACACTTTACAGCCTCCATGTGTTTAAGCTCTCAACCTCACTCGATTAACTTAGTTGGCAGACTTCCAGAGAGACACAGACAACAACTGCCGACATTCTCTCTAGTGTCTCGAGAGTGCCTGATGCCAGCGGCAGACAGTACTCTTGCACCTTTCCACAACAACGGTCTTGAAAGAAACTGCAGTGAGAAAAAAAGGTGCCACCACAACCAACTGTTGAACATCGGCGGCGTGGGGAGGGGGGACTTGGCTTCTGTAAGGAAGTGTCTATAGGAGTCTGCCCACCGACAGTATTTAGACACGTCAGCAACGTTGGCAGCAACAAACTACTACAAGCAAACGGAAGCTTCATTGCAAGTCTGCTACCTTTTTCAGAAACATTCAGCCTGCAGCAAAGCTCATTGCACATACAACTATGCTCTGTTGCAGGCCAAGAAAAGCGGAACAGCCTCCTCTCCCAAAGCCCTCCACTCTTTCCACTTTAGCAGAGCAAACGCTGGAGAGGAAAGTAGGAACCAGTAATCAGGTCAAACAAAGAGTTTTGTGATAGGGGCTTGTTCAACTTTTCTTAACCTGCAACAGACCACAGTGGCACGCCCGTCACTCCCGTCCAACGGGAATATGGCAAGTTTGGTCAGCCCGCATGAACGTACAAGAGGAAGTAGAGTCCCCAGGAGGTGCCGGCCCCCCAGCAGTTTGGGGCGACCCCCCGGTACAGGCCCCGAATGCCTTCCTCCTTGATGATGGTGGAGACGGCGTTCAGGATGCCCCGGTACTGGGGGCGGCTCTTCAGCTGCCCATCGTTGACTGCACGGAGGAGAAACCTGGGGGTCAGCTATGGCGGCCACCACGGCAGCACCCCAGACGTATCCGGCCACAGTTACATGCCAGTTAAAGCCGGTTCGCAAGCACATCTCAGAGCTGAGGCAATGCAAAGTCGGTGCTGATGTTAGCCCTCCATTGTGTGTGTAAGCAAGGAAAGGCGGGGTCGCATGCACCAGAGTGCTGATACAGCTGGTTAGCACTGAGCTTTAAAAGTAGCACTGTTTCCACAGCTGATGGTTCCTGTTGCTGACACACGCAAGCCAGGTTTGTCCCTCAAAGTGTCAACGAGCCACTTTTCATTGCACATCACATATCTTAGGCCGTAAAGTAATTTTACGTGGTATGCCACAGTGATGACAGGCCACCCTTCAAATATTGTTTTAGTTGTTTCTAGAATAAATCATGTCCAGAGGAGACGAAATAGTTTATAGTCTCCCGAAGTCTGACAAGTTTTCCGATACAAAGCTGATAAAAGTGGAAGAAAAAAAACGCAACACGAATGGTGGCGCGGCCGCAGCAGGAAGATAAGATTTGATCACAGCGCTTGTTGTTAGCTTTCAAGAGAAATACAAGGACGCTTTCCAAATGTGTTTGCTTCCCGTTCAACCGCTTGAACAAAACAACCTCCACCAATCCGTCTTTCTGTCTGAAGCAACGGAACGCCGGCATTGCATCACGCAGTCTGCTTCCGCCAAGAGGCAGTCCAGATCGGTTTCTCTTCCGCACCTCGCCTTATCTTTGAGCGCCTGTCAAGGCATAAGTCAAACATCTGCTGCAATCCCAATGACAAAAAGAAACGACTCTCGCTTTTTTTTTTTACGCATTGGCAAGTGACAGTTGTTAAACACTTTGCTTCCCTGTATAGCACAGTTAATTCTACCAATGGGATTGTAACTTACGCCACCTCTATTCTAAATATAAAAAAGGGTGTGGTTACATATTTAAAAAAAAAAAAAAAAAAAAAAGATAATAGAGGTAAAAAAAAAAAGGATTGTTGTCTTTAGGTTTTGGAAGCTCGATCTCAGCCTGTGTTCAGCACAAACCACTGATACAGAGAGAGTCGCAAGTTTAGACCTTGGCAGTAGCGCAAGTACACTCCATCATTATGTCTCTTTTTCACCTCATTCGTTCATTATATCACACGACGAGTAAACAACAACCACCTTCCAGCTGGGCTGCATTGTCAGGGAGTCACACCGCGTTCAGAGCTAGTCAAGCGTAGTCAGGCGACAAACAGTTATTACCCAAGGCAACCGGCAGGCATCGAAAACAATGCAGCCGATCGTGAAACGTCACCGACGTTACGTCCCGACTGACGTCACGCAGACATTGCGAAGGCTCGCGCGACCTTGAAAAGCGTCCAAGGCGAGCGGGAGGGAGGCTGCCCCAATCATCATCATCATCATTACACTCTGCCCGAGGGAAGCGGAGACAGTGTGACGCTGGCCGCGACACAAAAGATGGGCCAAGCGCCACGCGAACGCGCAATCTCTTCCAGTGGAACAAACTCCGAAGTGTATCTTTGTCGCGGTGGGCTCGTGCCAGCAGCAGTCGCGAACGGCTCGCCGCATCGGAATGATGCAATCCGCCTATGCGGTTCTTTCAGCGAGCGATTCTCAACCGAAAAGTCCGCAAGTTCTCCCCCTTGCATCTTGGTTGAAGTCTCATTAAATCAACAAATTATCTCTTTGTGGTTGTTGTTTTTTTTTTTTCGGCGTTAATTCCGGTTTAGGCAGCGGCAAATTTCGTTATTGTTTTGTTCGTGTGGATTCTCACTTTCTTTGCAATCGGTGCTAGTTGGACAAATTTCCACTGCGCGATCTAATTTGTTTAGATGCGTGAGAGTTGCAAGCGGAAAACGCCGACAACGCCCTCATTTAGCCCAGCGGAAGAGTCGAGAAATAAAAATAACCCCCGGCAACAAGAGGATAGCAACACGGCCTAAATTACCGTTTTCTAAAATAAAAGAAAAGAAGACAGATGGATTATTTATATAGCTGCGTGTTTTCGTTTTATATTTACGATATTTTGTAGTTTAGGATCGTCAGTTCCATACGACACCGGACGCCGGGCATAGCAGACAGACAAAAACATACTTTTGCAAACGAAACAGCTCGTTCGAGTTCTTCTCGGTTTCGCTTTTCGTTTTGTTGGGTTTTGTTTTTGCACTGCGTGTACTGGAGCTGGGATCGTGTACCATATGTGTGTTTATGTCCTTGATGTCTGCCTCCTCTCTCGTTTCACCCTGTTTCAACGTCCGCATGGCAACAATCCTGACCGTGTCACAAAGCAAACTCCCTAGCGCCGGGTTCCCCAAAGCGGGCACTCCGCCAACGGTGGGATGAAAATATAATGTAAGATGCCGAAAGGATGACGCAATCGCTATAGGCGTGCCTGTCGCCCAGCTGCCACACCACGCATCCTGCGTGCCACAGAAAGAATGTAAAACGCCCGTCGTTAGGTGTTTATAGACCGCATAAGGTTAGTCTGCCAGAGTCTTTCACGACATCGTTACACGTAGCTTTTTAGTGGCTCGGGTTTACACGCTGCAGACGAGAAATTTCGAACATTTTGTCAATGCAGTACGACTCCTAGCCGGGGGTCTGTGACCTGCATCATGTAATCGTGACACGCGACTGTACTCCGGTGCGATGAACATCCAGACCGAATCGAGCAGGGGGGATTGAACCCGGGATCCCACGAGTTTTGCAGCACCAGCTTTCGCTCCACGTGCCCCCAGTTGCATTGCGCTAACACCCCCCCCCCCCCCCTTCCCCCTTTACAAAAAAAAAAAAAAAAAAGTTGAAAAACTAATTATGCCATCGTCCCGTGGTAATGAATACACATACCACTCTCAATCGGGAAACTTATTGCCCGTGAAATATTCCCGAAGTGCACATATCATACCACGTTCTCGTCAAAATTTCACGAAAAGCAAGGTATATCCAAGTTCAAGGAATGCATCTCGAAGTATAAAGCATTTGTAGAGGTAATAAATATTCGATACAGTCACTAAACCAACATCGGCTAAAGCTGTTTTTGAAGGGCGAACACCTTTTAAAAAAGGTAGCTCGCCTCACTCCACCGTAGCACCCGTTTGTACATCTTTTTACACCAGTCAAAATTAAGTGTATTCCATGCAAAAGCGCCCGATTTCGTGATTAAAATGGGGGTATTACCCGAAATACGAGTGCTGAAAAGGAGTAGCCATGTCTGTAAGCCTATGGGGCAGCATTTGTACACTCTAAAAACGTAAAAAAAAAAAAAAAGTGCGTAGACGCAGCGTTCTCGGTAAAACGACGAGATCTTTGAGTCTTTGATACGGTGGCCGACTTTCGTACCTCTCAGATCCCTGCCCGTCCTCGAGTGCGCTTTGCTGATATCCTGCGCAGAAAGACCACTTCGCAGTCCGTGCAATATCGCGATGCATAATAATAAAAAAAAGTGTATATATATATATATATATATATATATATATATATATATATATATATATATATATATATATATATATATATATATATATATATATATATATACCGTAATATGTCCACAGATGACCCATCTATATTTTTGCCTTGATTTGCTGTTTTCTTTTAAGCACCGAAAGATAGCCCACTCCTAGTAACCGTGGTGTTCGGATCAATGATGACCTCAGCGCAAATTCGGTTAGTTAGCTGTGACGGGATATAAGCGAATATTGCTGAGTGGGAACTACAGCCATCTTTGCTTCGTTGTCCCTCGCCGTAATAATAAGTTCAACTTAAAAAATAAAAAAAATGGCCTAAAATAGTGTTTTTTCGACATTTCTTGATTATACATCGAAAGTTAGCTCACACCTTATTTTGCGCTCGACTTTAGGTAGGCTATCTCTCGGGGTATTACGATATACAGGGTGTTTCAGAGAACGCAGGCCAAGTCGCTTCTGCGATTTGGCCTGCGTTCTCTGAAACCCAAAAGCCACCGTTCTGAGCGCTTTCATCACCCGAAGTTGCTCGAAACCCATTCACGCCCAAATATTTTTTTTTTTTTTTTTTTTTGTGCAGGTTATAGAATTTGGAATAAACTTCCAGGTGCTGCTGTTGCTCTCGAGTCGATTTCTTATATCGAAAAAGCTCTACGTGTGTTGTCTGAATAAAAAAAAAATATGTATATGTGTTGTTGGCACGCCTCTGTAAGCGGATTTGTAACACCGGCTTTTTTTATTGTCTGTGTATGCGATGTACAGAATGCAGTGTACATTCGTTGTTTTGTATTACCCAGTCCTGCTTTCGCCCCTTAACAGGGCTGGCAGTATTGCGAAATAAATAAATAAATAAATGTAAAACTTTTTTTCTTTTTTTCATGCGAAAATTGTCATTTTTCGACACTCCCATTTTATATTTCCAGGTTTCGAAACGGTGTACCACTCCATGACGCGCTTTCATTGTCCGAAATAAACAATAAAAATTATATGTACCGACGCTCCTTTGTTTTTTTTAAGAATTTTTTTTTAATCTGTTTTAAGACTGAACTTGTTGCTTACGCAAATATATACCCAAATTTGAGCCAGCTCTCTCTGCCCAACATTTTATGTTTCCCTATTAACTGAAATATATTTGCAAAAGAGGAGAAAGAGAGATACTGGCGTTGTCATCGGGAAAAATCGCGCCAGAAAATAAATTTCCCAGAAAGAACACTAAACAAAACCGAGACCAGGGAAAGACAGGTGCAAAGAACACCTTGGCGCGTGTGTGTCTGTCCTCCCCGTGCTTCCGCGGGTTTCCACAAAATCGACGGATTTCCTATTGCCGCGCAATTGCTACGGCGATCCTTTGTTCCCAAAAAACAGCCGTCTGTGACCCTCGACCACGCTTTTCCTCAACGCCAAGCTGCGAAGGCATCCGCTCTCTCGATTGGTGCCCTCGCTCGGACACACCCCCCAGCGGCGTGTGACGTCACGACGGGACGCGCACGTACTCCGATGACGCGCGCACTTCTGCGAATACGCGCGGCGCGCATCTGGCACACCCCCACGTGGCTTCCTTTCTCGAACGGGTCGCCGACTTTTCGCAGAAGAAAGCCCCTCGCGTATGAGAAGAAAGACCGGTAAACACGGCGTTGCAAACCGTTAGTGTCTGTTCTCCGCTGTCTTTTAATAAAGTTGTAGTCACACGCAGTACAGGTGGCCATTTGTTTCCAGAAGACCCTCAGGGTTTTCTCACACGTATTAGCACCGAGATGGGAACCTTGAACACCCTGGACGGCGTTGGGTGTCCCGCAACGGATACTTGGCAGAAACGCTATACTAACAAACGTTAGGCAACTTTCTTGCGCTACGTTGTCGAGGTTAACGTAGCCTGGGGCTTCAGCGCTGCTTTGCTGCGCGAGCACATGGCCTCGCCTTGAGCCTTGCTTGAGCCCCCTTCGCACGCGCTCTCTCGTGCGAAGGAGACTCCAAACAAAGCCACACACGCGCTCGCGCAAGTAGCTTCAAAAGCGCTGGAGCAGTGCTCAAGCTACGGCAGCCTTTACAACCTGGCACAAAAAGGCTGATGCCGAGGACAGAACACCGTAGTTCCAACGTTTCTTTTTATGTTCGCTTTGCGTGCGGAAACCGTATAAAGCTAAACGCAACCCCTGTATTTGTTTCTTTTTCCTTTTATACAGCTTTTGTTTTTATTGGGGGAAAAATACTCGTTTTCACCTCAAAAATTGTAGTATAAAAAAAAAAAAGTCCAGCGTTTGGCAGAGCATTACTAATGAACCCCTTAATGTGGAGAATTGAGATATACAGTATGTAGGTTCATTTTAGATTAGATATATGCTATCTTATCAAGACGTACATGTTTCAAACGCCGGAAGCACCACTTCTTCCCTTGACAACCAAATTTCGTTGTATTCGTTGGTTCCGATACATAGAATACAACGGGAAAGCCAAAAACACAAACATTTCGGTATATCCGTTGATGCACTCTTAATTCCTGGTTACCTCTCGTCGATGGATATTGAACAAACTTGAAATACACTTTCCATGTATATTAAAGTAAACACGCGTCGACAGTATAGTTCGGGCTTACCAATAACGTAAGTTAACGCGCTTCAAATACAGTAAAAAAAACAAAAACATTCTTTTTTGGTGTTTGTGTGAGGGATCTCGCGGTGCCTTGTCAGGAAGGGGTGGTGCGATTTTTCCTACGTATTAGAGCTCAAAAGGGCGGTTAAAATAATGCACCAAACTCCGAAATTGCAAAACATGCAGACGAATGCAACAACTGTGTGTACCCGAGTGGGAGGGCACTGAAGTCTTACATAAGGAAGACTTACAGTATCGGCATAAACCTTCCTTATCCCTTGCTTGATAAGGAAACGAAAACGTATCTTGGTTTCGAGTTTCTTTTTCTTTACAGGTGGGTGAAATGTTTCACGGTTCGGGTTTTTCTCTTCCTTTCGATGTGTTGCTTTGTGGTTTCTGTGGGACAACCTTTCCTTGTCTCTTGATAAGGGAACAAAAGAGTTGATACATGTTGCCGGGTTCATAGTCTGACCTTGCCAAGTGCGGAAATTTCTGGCAATCCTCTTTTGTGTGTGTGTGGGGTTGGGGTTATGTTGTTTTTTTTTTTTTTTTTTTTATGCTTCGGGGGTGTATGCTTTTGTGATTTGGGGTTATGTGCGGTTGTCGGTATAGGTTGAAAGTCAGGGTACACTGTATAGTGGGCGAGGAGGTCGTTCTAATTGTAAAAAAGGCCTTGTTCAATAAATTTCAAGCTGTGTTCGAAACTTCGTTGTTCTGTCCGGTTTTCTTTTTTTTTTTTTCTTCTTTTTTTTTTACGTGAGGGTTATTAGGGACGTGAGATTAGTATTTATCATGCTTGTGTTGTACAGCGACTGCATAATTACTGGGGAAAATATCACTATTTATAATGCTTTCTTCAGTAATGCTGGCAAAGATAACAATAGAGAACAGAGCAAGGAATGCGGTTTCGATAAAAAGGAACAACCCCCAGGACAGTTCAGTGCAACTGCGTACCGGATCAACCAAGAAAAAAAAAATTTTTTTTTTAGGGGCAGCTTAAATTTGGGGTTTCTGAGTTTTCACCAATTCAGAAAAAAAAAACACCTTGGTGTTTAAGTTTCGGCTTGTATTGGTATACACAGATAACATGATACTCTAGTTATGAACAGTTAGACCTGCGCCCCGATATATAACGGTGTGTGCAAACCAGAGAGACTCGTAACGTGCCTGATGATTCGCCTTGTCTACCCTAAGTTTCTATACAAAATGCTGTGTACGCGCTCGTGCCGTATTTGTGCAAGGCAAGCACTCCAAAGACTTGCGACAAAAGCTTTGTTCTTGCTGTCACATCAGGGTGCCTCGATTTCCGCACTCAATGAATGGCGTGGGCATACAGTGCTTTCGTCTTGACAACGCGGCGATTCTCTCATTTTCAGAGCAGGTGAAGATTACAGCCGCTGCTTCCCCGATCTCTTAATCGGACTCTTCGGAATCACAAGGACCCGATAAGATGATAGTGTCACTGACGGGACGAGAGCGATACGGTGCCTCTCCATCGGATGCCCAGCCAAGGCTGTAGAACGTCTTGACAGTGAGCCGCCGCAAAATAAAATGATGCGAAGATGCACCGGTGTAGTACTTGCGCAAACTGCACTGTCCAGGGCACGTCCGCCCGTACAAAAAAAAAAACAAAAAAGAACTGGATGGGAGCAGAAATGACGTAGAGTGATGTCGAGAAGAAATTGCACACCTTACAATCGCCCATGGGAACAACGGTACTGACGCGGCAAGCTGTAATAGCTCAAAAGTTGTTTTTTTGCCACAAACAGATGTTTCTAGTGGCCGAGCAACATATGCCTCCCGTTCTGTCTCAGGCTCTCACGATGTCTAAACGGTATTTTAAAAAATAAAAAAAGGACTTAAAACAATATAAACGTGTGGTCAGCGTAACTTCCTGCGATCAGCTTTCGAATGATCGGAAAGACCAGGTATGACGTAGGCGCCACACCTGCAAAATACGCGCACCTCCGTCACTTTTTATTTTATTTTTTTAAGGTCGCTTATTCGACGGGCGACTGTGCGATCAGCTGTTCCGAGGTACAGCACGTGGCGACCGGTAAAACGTGCTCCCTCTGACGCGTTGCGCGTGCCCGTTGCAAACGCGGACTTTCCATGCCCAGTTACAGACTCGAAGAAAAGCGAGCCCAACTGTAAACAAAAATAATATTTAACTGATCACATATTACGTTCAGGGCCTCCAGAACGGACAACCCTTCGAATTTCCCCCAGGTAACGAAAGAGCAGAAGAAACAAACGGCCGCTTCGTCTGCTTCAAAGCAGCCCAACTGAAACCGCGGTCAAACCAAGGTAGTATTTGGTCTCACCGCTACCGAGGCATGCGTTCACAGGCCATCCGATCCGGACCAAAGCGGTTAAAACCGGTATTCACGTGCATGGTGTCGTTGTTTTTACTTTTCCTTTTCAGGATGCTGTAACGCGACCAGCGGTCACTTTTAACGAGTCAAAACGAGCGAAGAAGAGGGAAGATGGTCTCACCTGCGAGTCGGATTTTGAGCAAGTCGAGCGGGTGCAGAACCAGCGTCGACGTAACGCCGCCCGTGACGCCGGCCAACAAGTGTTCGTAACGGACCTTAGGCAGAACTAGACTGACCGGAGTTCGCCAGCGGTCGTGGTTCGACGCCGTAGAGTCCTTCATGGCTTGTCGGCGACGGTGTCGCGGAGGCGCGGGGGTCTCTTGCGTGTTTTCACTTCTTGTTTTTTCGCAAGACACGAGGGTTCACGATCAGCTGGCGGTATTCACGCACGAGTTTGTCCGTAGGGAGTCGGGGAAGCGAAGCATGGCCGACGAGCGTCGTCGCCGACCCGATGGAACGACGAAGGTGGAATGAATGGGATGCTGATCGCGGACAGGAAAGCGCAGCGACGACACGACCGCGGCAGGCCTCACGCAAAGCTGTTTGTGTGTTATGTTTGCTTGCATTTGCTTCGGGAAAGGAAAGCGTGGAGAGGGGGAGAGGGTGGAGAAAAGTGGCGGCCTGACACGACGAATAAAAAGTATAAAGATTGAATGGCGCTACCTCCGTGTCAAGAAGATAGACAAAAAAAAAGTAAAACAAAGAAAATGAGTAACTTATTTATTGTATTGTTATTACAGCGACAACCATATTAAACTTTTTTGAATATTTATTTTTATAAAAAGTAAGCCGGCTAAACCTAAGATAACATTGATTTTGTAGAATTTTAGTAAAATTGTTTAAAGAATGTTTATTGTTATCTAACTTGTAACATATAAAATTATTTTATAAAATATTTATTAAATTATAATATAAAGATATTTGCGTTTTCTTACAGTAGCGCCCGTAGCGCCGCATCACTCGAGCTAAGAAGTTTTGAATGGTGCAACAGTCCTTTATATCTCCTTTTTCACGTGGTGAAAACAGAGGTAAGTCAATCTGTGACAATATTGCATTGTTTTATGTGATTTAGGCGAAGCTCTGTATTTCCAAGCAATCGGTAGGTTTTTTGAGGCGATCTAGAATAAATACAGCGCGCGAAACCATCCATGAAGTTTGTGAGTTTGTCAGTAGAACTGATCGGAACTTGGGGGAGGCGTGGATGTTGTGGGTGGAATTCTCCCGCTTCTTGACCGCTCTCGACGCCAGAAACGTTAGCCACCGTGTTATTTTTGCTTATTTAATAATACCTGTGTCTCTCGATGACTCCTGACCTAGTGCTTTAAATTCAGGTTTCAGCGTTCACGCGAATATGCGTCAGATGACAGGGACCTACTTCCTTGAATGGGCATGAACCGCCGATTACACAATACTCGGAGGTGTGCCAATAGTCGATGTTGTATTCGCCGATGTTCGCTACCTTACGTCTTCAGAAAACAAAGCGGGTGTGTGTTTATTTTTTTTTTCAAAATACCGTTTTATTGGCTAGAGGTTGATACCTTTGAGCCGTATGACACAGCCAGCGAGCTGATTGAGTGCACATCTTTATCGAGTTTTGGGATCTCCGCTTAGGTGCTAGGTTCAGCAATCAGTGTACTCACAAGATGAGGAAAAAAAAAAAAAAGCAATTGAAGATCATGAGGTCTTGCAGTGAATAAAAATATTCATATTGCCAAAAAAGAATGGTAGCATGTCGTAAATATACATATTCACACAAGAAAACGTTTAGATAAATATTGAAAACGCTTAACTCATCTCAGTTTTTTCAAAGCTCTTATGTTCTACAAGAAGGAAAAAATTTAACTAAAAACTTGCTTTTCAGCCATTTTTTTTTTTTTTTTTGCAGGAAGTGACGAGTTTGCTATACAGCGATGCAATGCTTAAGAATGGTTGGGCTTAAATAAACGATAAAGGGTATTAAACACATTGCACACCTGCCTGGCACACTTGACGTGTCTCCTGGACTTCCGGCAGGATGTACACACTTGGTCTGTTTTGCACATTTCTATGATTGACAGGAAAACTTCCTGGAAGACAGTTTCCTATTGTTTTTTCGATTAACACTTGCTGTTCGTCTGGCTACATAAGAATGAAATGCAGGGGGGAAGGTAATCGGTGTATGAGGGTGAGGGGAAGAATCATACTTTTGGTTTTTTTAGTTTCTGGGCTAGATGGCCCAAGCTACCGCACGTTATAAAGGGTGCAGCCACTAGCATCCATCCATCCAGCGAGCAAACATTTGAGCGGATTGTTTCACAAAGATCACACCTCGTGCACATGTGCATCCCAGTCTTGACGGTGGTTTGGGTTGTCCTTAAAAGAAGTGTCGTTTCAAAGCCGTCCCCTATCACTCCGAGGCGCACGTGACCCTCTGCCATTGGGTGGAAGCAGAGCTCAGAAAATGTCCGTTACCGTCGTCGTCACTCGTCTGGATGCTCAAGTCACCGTCAAGTTCAGGACGGCTAGGAGGAGCTCCAGTCGTTCCGCCTCCGGCGCGAGCTCCCTTCGACGACGCCTCAACATCTTGTGCGCCTTGAGCACATGCACGCAGCCAGACCCCGGCGGAAGGCATGGAGCACGTGCTGGAGGCTGTAGGCACTCAAAACACGCGCCTTGCCATTCTCATTCCGTAACTCGGCCTGGGAACTCGCAGAGAATTCGCCTCTGGAGAACTGACTCAAAACCCCATCCGAACCCTGGTCTTTGCCAAGATTGCAGCACTGCCATTTCTGTTGCACTGGTAATCGCTGGTCTGCCATTGCAGAAAGCTTTTTGTGTAACGGGATTATTATTTATTTTTTTTATACGCAAGCTTTCTAGCTTTGATAACACTTCAAGGGTCTTGTGAAGGCAGTGAGGGTGTGCTGAAGGTGGTGCCCCTTGAGCACTCTTCACTTTTATCTAATAGGCCGTAGTAACATTTTGTGAATAACTGCAAGTGTAATTAGGTGCATTTCTAAAAAGGCAAACATTTTTAAGTGAATTTCATCTTGGCTCCAGTAAACATAGCAAAATTACTTTTGAAAGACAAGTTTCTGCAGCTTTATGCCACGTTGGGAAATCTGAGGCAAAGTTCCGACTTGCTGATCTCCACTTAGCAGGCACTAATTCCGGCCAAGGGGCCTGCAATCTGACCAAGGCCTATTGCATAGAAGGTGCCAAGGTTTTGGTTGCACGTCAAAAGATCCCCGGTCTATCGAAATTAGTCCTCCTCTGGAGCGTGCCAGATGCCCTTTGTTGGTTTGGCACGTAAAGCCCTTAAATTTGTAAGTTGTCTTTGTAGCTTTGCATGGATTTTGATTGTTATTGTCTGGGCTTTAGGAGACCAGCGTTTTGAGATGCCGACACAAGATAGTGCCGCCAAGGAGGCGGACGACGGTTTCCAGCTGGTGCAGAAGAAATCACGGAAACGCAAGATGACGATGGACATGGATGACGCGGACCCCAAGGCGGGCGCCGTCGTCTACCCGCCCGCCAAGCAGGAGAAGTTGGTACGGTTCCAGGACTGCCTCTAATTAAAAAGAAAAAAAAAAAAGAAATTGATTTGAACAACTGTTTGCTCCCTGCCAACTTTGGCAAACTCTGCAGGGATACTATTAGGAAAGAAAGAAAAAAAAAAAAGAAAGCTTGCATTTTTAATGCACGCACGACAGTTGGTGTAGGACTTTCTTGATGGAAACTGGTTTGTCGTGTCCGGGCAAGCTGTTGCTAAGGTGCCCTGGAGGATTGTGTGCCGATGATTCATTGCAATGGGAAGCAATTCTCACGTGTTGCAACAGATCTCATTAATTGTATGTGCATTGCATCATGAGTCTAGGTATAAAAATTGCAGCGTAGTATATTCATCTAATCTGGTTGCTGTAAAATAGCCAATTCTTGCAGGCTCAACATTTTGCAAATTTTCTGAAGTGTGAGTTTCGAGAATATTTCTAGGGCACAACATTTCGCAATTTGATGCATTCGTTACCACAGGCTGATATATTTGTGTCATCAATGTTTTGCAAAAAATTTTCGAATTCACAAAGTTTAGGTTTTTGCACAAATGAAGTTGTTTACAGTACTCTTTTTGTTGAGGTGCCAAGGCAGGCTGCCAGTGCAGAAAAAATTTTAGCGATGCCGAAATTACTTATATTCAAATGACATTCAAAATTTTGCTGGCAATGAAAAGTGTAGAACAAAAGATGATTTTTTTGTTTTTATGTGTGCCTTGAATGGGGAGCAGTCCCAGGGATCCGTCGGCTTTCGTAACTTTGGGGTGAAAACTGTTTTCCAAATAAAAAACAACCTATTTCTCATCAAGTTTTAGCCTAAAATGAAATTTATTTTTATCCATAAAAGTATAAAATGAAATCCTATTTAACCTTGTGTAAAGCACAGTCTGGTGCATTGCAAATATAATTGAATTTTGTGGTCTCACGATACGGCTGTTCATATAATTTTTTCAGCTCTACTATGGTTTGTCGAAAGCCATTTTATTAAAACTTGTTATAGAGAACGAGCGCATTTCATCAAAGCACGGTTTAGAGGAAGCAAAAGCCCAGTTTAGATAATCACCGTTTATAGAAAAGTCCTACACGAATTTAGCAAATCCGTTCGGCCGCCGTAATCAGGTGCGACGCAAATGTTTGTTGCAAAAACCGTAGGGATTTGACGTGCATAAAAACTTGTAGTCTTACCTAAAACCTTTCCCACATACACTGGCTGCCCAAGCCCTTGAGCAACTGACTCATCGACTGGCTCATTGGTCGAGGCCATACAGCCAAGTGAGCCAACTTTGAAATGATGCACAGAATTCGGTGAACAGTGTTCGCCATAACAAGGCTCGTTGCCACTTTCTCTAAACCAAGTTTCTCTATGTAGGGATTCGATAAACAAAAGTCTTTAAACTGATGTTTGCTAAAATTACCTTCGGTAGAATGTGTGCCTCCGATTTTTTCTGTCCAGTCCACTATCTTAGCTGGAAAAATCGGCACCTACACGTAGCAGCCTCCAATTTTGATTAAAACTGGATTTTAGTGGTGCATTTTATGTTGCGATATTCGAGACATAACTCTCTTCCTGCAAAAAACAAAAAGATGAGCAAACTTGCCACGTTAGACGGCGACACTGACGAAGCGTGACGGTTGTGCTTGTGGCGCCATTTCCCAATACGCTCAGTCAGCGGATGACACACTCGGTTGGATGCAGACGACGTCTCATCTGCACCTATCTTCTTTTTTCTTTTTTTTTTTTTTAGAACTAACATTACGGTCTGTTTTCATGACAGGCTCCAAAAGTCTCTACTGAGATGCACATGCTAAGATGAACATCAGGAAAGATAATTAGTGGGGTCTAGGTAATAATTTTGTGAACTGTTGCGTTACACTATCGTCTTGCCGTTTGCTGTGGCCATCAGTGTTATCCTGTTTAAAAATAGTTACTTACCTCGAGTGTTTTTCTTTTTTTTTTTTTTTTTTCATAATTTTTTTTATAAAAAAAATGACCCTCTTTGTTCTGAGTGACTTCATAAATTATAACTGTTGTTGGTGACAGGTTGAGTTCAGGGGAAGCACCTGCGACCTTTTTCCACTTCAGCAGAGCGAATGCTGCAGGGGAGGTCACCTCCTCTCCGTTTGCTCTGTTAAAAAAGTGGAAAGGCGCGGGAGGAGCTTCCCCCGAACTCCCAACCTCTCACTGACCATAGAGTAGTGTGATTAGTGTGAACCTCAATGAAGAGCATGCGGAGTTATATATTTCATTATTATTTAACGTGACAATAATTTATCTGCAGGACATCCGCAGGAGCAAAGACCATAGATTAACAAAGGTAGCGGTTGTCTATTCTAGAATGTGGATGCTTAGCGTTCATCCTTGTTACGGGGCGGGATCCGTGGAGAGCCTTTTCGGGCAGGTTCCGCCGAGGTGAGAAAGTGGTGGGTCGACGCGCCGGCAGTAAGCTGCTACTTCTGCCAAAGAAGTTTGGCCTTAATCGATCACGGCATTGCGTACCTACGAGTCTGTAGCAGGTTTGGAATGGCAGGGCAAGCCCCTCCCATACACCTCCTTGCTCCCTATGATTAGTGGTTTCCTCCTCACGACTTGCCTCCTCTTCAGCCAACACCTTCGATACTCTGATGCAGGTCGAGAAAAGTGGGACAAACTCCTCTTACGAAGCCTTAAACTCTTTGTGCTTTAGCAGAGCAAACCTAGGAGAGGAAGCAAGTCCACCCACCTCCTCTCCAGCTTTCGCTCTGCTAAAGTGCAAAAGCATTGGGCTATGTGTGAGGTGCTTGTCCTTCCTCGAACCTCAACGCTCTTTCCACTTTGTCCGGCCATTCTAAACCCGCAACAGGCCGCAGCGAGTGCACGCTTCGACGCAATCACCTCTTTCTGCGCACAACGCGTCGTCCGAGCCCCAGAGTCCTTTTCTCTCCCGCAGGAGGGCAAGGGGGAGCTGCGGCGGATTGCGGTGCCCGCCCACCGCTACACGCCGCTCAAGGACAACTGGCTCAAGATCTTCACCCCCGTGGTGGAGCACCTGCACCTCCAGATCCGCTTCAACCTCAAGTCGCGCTGCGTCGAGATCAGGGTCAGTGTTTGGCCCCGCAGGCACCAATTTGAATAAGTTTTCTTTCTTTTTTTTTTTCCATGTCAATGCATTTCGCACTTCTTAGGACTGTGTGCCTTAAAACCTCTCTATCTTACAACGATAAAACGCGCTGCAGCCACCTGTGAGGTGGCGGTGGAACACTTATGGTGTCTGCATATTTCCTATTTTGTCTTGCAAATACCTCAAAACCTTCGTTCTAGCAAAATGAAGTTCCAGGGTCACCTCGTAGGTGGCGCTAGTGTGCCAGGTGTGTGTTCTCGTCCTAATAGATTTCAAGAAGTTTTAAGGCCCAAAGGCCTAAGAAAATGTGAGTGTGTGAATGGGCCTTATGTCTGAAATGCCACAAAGTGTTGGAAAGACTGTGTCCCCTGTGGAGAACCAAATCACTGACGTCTCGCCCAGTAGTCCAGTACTCTACTATTTAGGAGCATTTTTTATTAGCACAGTTATAGGAGTTGTTATATAGGTACTTGCAGTGGTGTAGGCAGTGGAGTGGTTTGGGCAGTCAAAAACAACAACCCCACCCTTGAAACTCCAAAGCTACTCCGCCCCGCCGCTCCGAGGCGGCCGAAAAGTAGGGGAGTGTGGCGAATGCGAACATCTTCCTCGCTTTTGGACATAGGGTTCATGGAACTGATAATACGCCCGGCCTGTGTCACGTGTTGTTTCCGCAGCCAAACGGTGACAGTAGTGTCCGGTCGTCGGAAGGCTCAGTCGGCTGAGATGTTGGTCAGCTTGTGAAGTTCAACCAGTGGCCATTTTGAACGCCAGACAGTCTTCAGCAGGTCGCTCCAAACATGGAAGTTCACCTTCCACTCGTCGATTCGGAGCAGGTCTCACGGAGCAAATGTTTGCTTCTCTTGTGGAGCTTGGAAAGCGCTCCGGACCTACCAGCGGAATTCACCATAACTCAAAATGTGTCTCTCGGTGTAAATATTGCATTATTAGATTTATGTGTCCTGTCGAAGTACTTAACAAAATAGGTTTTTTGTGAGTTTAGTGTCCCTTTAGGTATTTGCCCTGTTGTGTTTTTATCAGGGTGTCGAACCGGAACCGAACCGAACCGAAAACCGGAACCGAACCGGTATTTTTTCCGGAACTGAACCCGAACCCGAACCGTTATATTGTTATCGCGATGAACCCGAACCGGAACTGAACCGGAAAAAAAAGAACGGTTACCGGCTCATGTCAAAACGGTTCGGCCACGCGCTGTTGACAATGAATATGCTATCAATGCCATTTGTTTTTTAAGTGCCGTCAACTGACACACCTCGCTTACATATTTTTCTTCTCCACTCAGTCTTAGGAATATAAACGCTGCATCCATGAATCTTGACAAACGCTGCATCCATGAATCTTGACATAGGAACCAGTATTGCGCTGGTCGCGGCTTGCACGGAAGGAAAAAAAGTGGAAGGCTGTGCAAAAAAAAAAAATCGCGTCACGGGATTTCATTTTCCTACAATCTCGTAAATCCTAAATGCTGCTGTGTGCTCATTTCATAACACGTTTCTAGAACACGCGAGTTCTTGAAGCTTGCTTCCATCGGAATGAGAAAAGAAAAGGCTGTGGAGTTTGATAATAATGCATCCGGTTTCGTATAGGGACTTAGAAGCTAACATATTTGTGAGACAGCGAACTCTTCTATTTTAATATTTATCCTATTACGTCCTTCTGGCGTTGCGTTCGGTGAAGTGTTTTTCATATTCCGCATCTTGTTTAATGAAAACTTCTTTAAGGGTCTAATTTGAGTTACCGAAGGCTAGTTCAAATAAAGAAGGCTGTATTTTCTCCCCACTGTTCCTTCAATTGCTTACACGCCGAGGTGGCGGGATAGTTAGCGAGTTCTACTTGTAAGTGGGTTTGTAAGGAGGTCGCGGATTTTACAGCTACTGCGTCGGACCCAATTAGATGAAGTCCGAATGCGTAAACGTCGGTGAGGTAACCTTTGAGTGCACATAAAGAAACCATTCCTGGTAGAAATCCCTGAGCCTTACACTACGATGTATCCCGTTTCGTATGTGCTGATTTCAGATGTTTTATTTATAATTTATTTTGATGTTGCAATTTGTCATTTATAATTTCCGAACCGGTTCGCGAACCGGTTCGCGGATCGAATTAATCGAACCGGAACAAAATAAATTTACCTGAACCTGAACCGTAACCGAACCCGTATTTTTTTCGGTTCGACACACTGGTTTTTATGACCTTGTTTTCAAGGGTTAGTCTTTGAAAGTTTTTAAACGTCTGTCTGACAAGGTGTTGCTTTCTGCAGACGTGCAAGGAAACCGAAGAACCGAGCGCCCTCCAGAAAGCGGCAGATTTCGTCCGGGCCTTCACCCTGGGCTTTGAGGTGGACGTAAGTGGCACTTCTTGTTGGATTGGCCGGTCAAACTGGGCGGGCCATTGCCAAGGTCTGGGAATTAATTTGCTCATTGAGTTTATTGTGCCAAGGTTACAAGACATGTGGCAAGCCAGTCTCGATTGTGTGTGTTAGGGTTTTTTCTTGGTGCCTCGGTCATTGGTGAACGTTGGACACGATTCATTCATACTGTCAAGACCAGTTATAACGAAGTCAACGGGAATCGGAAATCACTTCGCTATATCCACTTTTTCGTTATAACCGACTTCGGATAGCAAAGTGCAAAAGGGAATGGGAAATCATGATCGCTCCGCTGTAGCTGCTATTTCGTTATAACCGACTTCGTTATAATTGGTCTCGACAGTACCTGTTTTGCCTGGTAGGGTCATGGAAAGCTAATGTCCCTTAATATATATACGACGGCAAGAAGTACAGTGTTTGGTCATAGGCTATGCAGAGTGTGACACGGTTAGCACGAACTAGCAACCGCTGAATTATTTTGTTTTGCTCGTAGACCAACTTGGGTAGTAAAATTTGGGTGTCCATTGGCGCTCTGAACGAGCACAATGCGAAAAAGTGCCTCTGTCATGTTTACGCTAACAATTCATGGTGCCGTAGTTTTGATTTCCCAAAGTCCTCTCGTCGCAAGCGAAAAGAGTTTGTTGGATCAAATCTCACTGCATATTTCCATGTTTCGGAAGCGGGGATCAGATTTGCGAATTATGGCTTATTTATGAGACGGCAAGCTCTAGCAAGGTTTTGGGGAATTGGAATTGGAACTTCTAAATACTGAAAACCTCGATGCAGCGAAATTTGCCATATGACGAAGCCCTTGTTTTACTTTATTATACGTGAATTTAGATGCGCTCTTATTGATGCCTTTAGTTACCTTCTCTCCAACCATGAGCACCTAACTCTCCTACCGAACACATGAGAAAAAATGGTCTCTTTTTTAGTTTGAGAGCTAAAAAACAGTGCGGAACAAAATCTGCCCAGATTCTGCACGTGCAGCATTTCAGGGCCATTTGGCCGGCGGCCGCAAACCCGGCGTGATTCCAAAGCTCAATGTGTACTCTCCGCCTCACCTGCTTCTCGAATGCACTGAAATGAGGCCGCAGTCGGCCAATGTGTTGGCCTAAGGAAATCCGGCTTCATTGTTGGCTGCGTCGTCGTCTCTTCTCTTGCGGTGCATTGTCCTCTCGGTTTCGTTGCTTGCTCCGACAGCCCGCTTTGTTGTCTGCCATCTCTCCAACCGCCTGCCGTATTTTTTTAACTATCACGCACATTCTCGAGGCTCCCAAGACGCCGAAGCATCGTCGAAGGTAGGCAGCTTGCACTGGAGGCAGAACAACTAAAAGACCTCTTTGCTGTTTTAATCTTGTCAGGGAGTATAGTCTCGTTTATGCACAGCATTCTTGGCTGTATGAAAGAGCACATCTAGCGCAGAAGAACCGTTCCCAGAATGGCTCGACGACACGGATAATGATAACCAAGTTCAAAGACAGCTTTTTCCTGACCAGCGTGTAGCCAATGATGTGTAATGTCACCTCATCGTCGCTATATGCCGATGACACATATAGCGACGACGAAGGGATAATGTCACCAAGCCACGTAAAATGAACGAAGATGCCTTGTTCTTATAACAATTCGTGGAGGTCAGGTGCCTGCGTAAGAATCTTTGTGGCTTGGCTGACTCGACCGGCATCTATTGCGCGACGTTGTCTCACCGTTGCTATATGGGGATAACTTAGCGATTTTGGGATGATGACGTTACAAAGCGACGCAGAATGTATGAGGGTACCTTGCTCTTACAACGATCTGTGGAGGTCGGGTGCCTGCTTACGGTGAGCTTCCCTTGATTCTGCGACGAACACTAGCAAATGGGGTACGCTGGAGGCATTCCAAGGCTGAAAAACTGTGTTGGGCCAGCTCAGGCTTTTTAGTGATGCCCAACACAAACCATATATTGTCGCATGTAAGTCAACCTTCTTAGGAATGGGTATTTAAGATTAAAAGATCTAAAAAAATGGGTACCGTGTCTAGAAAGAAAACAATTATTAACAACAACAAAAAAATCTTGTTTTTCTTATTGGTTAGATATTCAAAGGAGGTTAGGGAGGGACACTACCAGATAAAACAATTTGCGCAAAAAAAGTTGATTTTCAAAAATGTCATTATTACATGTACCAACACCTAGAGAGTATTTCCAGAAAGTTTCATCAGTTTACACTGCATAGTTAATTTTTTATAAATTATTTTCTGTCCACTGAAGCTAAAGAAAAGGTAGAGGTTGGAGCACTTTGAACACATTTTTCTCCATTCCACTTTTTGGCGTAAATTTCACTTAAGGAAAACTATCGTTTTGTTATTACGTAACCTGGATTCAATTTTGTGAGTTTTTCTGGAATAAAAGTTTAAGGGGAAGATAACTATGGAGCTTGTATTTTTTTATTTTTGTAATTTTTCATGCTCAAGGACTAAAAGTTTGGGCAAAGGATGGAAATCTAAAACACAGTTTTTGTGTTTATGTGGCTTTTTTGTCATGAAAGATGGTATGATATAGAAATTTAGCTCCATAGCTATCTGCTTGGGACTATCCTAAAGCAATATAACACATGAAAACAACAAATTTAAGTAATTTCAAAACAATAGCTTTCCTATGCAGACATGCCCACTTTCATCTTCGAACATTTGCAATCTTTTTGTACTTCACCCAGGTTAGCAAAATTTGTTAGAAATGTTCTTAGCATCAGCAGAAACAAGGACTGTAAATGTCATTTAAATCAGGCAATTGGTTCAGACATTCACTTTTTTGGGTAGTGCCCCCCTTAAGCCTATATTTGGAGTCGACCTATAGCAACGTTTCTGGATCGGCTAAGTTGACGAGCTTCGGGAAAAAAGTGACGCGCTGCCATTCACTGCTACGTAGCGGCGCTCGTGTCGCAGCCTGTCCAACCCGCTCATTCCAGTCGGCCTGGTACCCTTAGATATGCCCTGAAACACATCATCTTTGGGTGGGTTCACGAAGTGTAACGACTGTTTCCAGTGTGATAATGTCTGGATTGAGACAACATTTCCTTGAACTTATGAGGTAAATTCACGCCCGTTAGGCCTTCTTAATTTTGGCAGTCTTTGACATTCAGCACCAAGCAATGGAGAAATGACTGCGTCTATCGTGGTTTCCAGCACGTGGACCGTTGTGTTTTGGTCGTTTGCGGGCTGGTATACCGTGAGCTACCCTCTTCTGGTGTTCTGTGTTTGTGTCAGAAGTTCAAACGTAAACCGCTGCATACATTCCAAAGCCGCAGTGGCTGGCGTGCGTCATCAAGGAATGAGGCTCCCATCGGCTCTCGTGCGGTGTAGTTCCAAAAAATGTTACCAGAGAAGCCCTCTCCACGGCGGCGCAGTGCACGCAGCGGCCTGGCTGCCGGTAAGAGGGAGCGCTGACAGCGCATGCGAGCTCCTGATTGTGGATGCTGGTCGTAGACGAATATGAGACACATCAGCTATGAAATAAGTCTCGTTTTACTTTAAGATTGCACGAACAGAAAATCACGCTCGGTAGTTCGACCCAAAGCTAGGCACCTACGCTCCTATGCGTTGCATTATACCGTCTTAAAATGGAAGAAATCGTAAGTGTGCATATTTACACTCATGTGGCCGCAGTAGAATCAGATTCAGTTTTTTAAAAAGAAGTGCGCAAGGGCCGCTGACGTGCCCGCCGACAGCCTGATTTTGCAACGAAAAGCCAGCATCCTGAGCTTGCCCAGAGCCTGGCCAGCCTCGCGGACCGGTCGGGCTGGAACAGCGCCACCATGCTCGCACGATTGGAGGGGGCCGGCTTTCCGAAGCACGTCTAATGCAGAGCTTGTTAACTGAGCCAATCTAGTAATGTTGTTCCTATACTTGGCCATATTCGCGACTCCAGCAAAACGGACGCCACCAAGCGGGAAAACCGGGAACCAGCCAGTCCAGGTCGCTCCGCGCCCCTCCGCGTCTCTGGTGGCTTTCGCGGACACGTGTTGTCGGCGCGATGGTGAACGATGTAATTTAACGAAGGTCCGGGAATTTCTTAAGTTTGCCTGAGTGTTCATTAGTGCGGCGAAGCCTCAGTAGATTGTTTCCTTCCATCACGTGTTTTCGATGTCTTGGATGGGGAGGAATCGCGGAAAAAACGTTTTAATTTCTTGTTTGTCTCGAATCACATTCAAAATGACGACTACTTGGTAACTGATAACGGGTTTCTTTATGAGGATGTAGAACAGTTGGAGGACGACAGACGAGGCATTTCATTGGAGGGAACACCAATGCTGCAGTCAAGTGAATGGGAAGGTTCGATGGCTGCTTTTCTTGAGTTTGGTTGTGTTCGATTAGCTTCAAGTTTGAGCCACCCACGCCGGTCGGTGCGTTGGCTATTCATCTTGGCTGCTTTTCGCCGAAAAAGCCTCTGGACCACTTTGAAGGAGTTGGGCTGATTTCGCAATTAATAATTGATTCAGGAAACCCTGCTCGCTGCAAATGATGAATGAGGGAAATTATGTTTTCAAAAAGTGGGGGACGCGTCTCGCAACTTTAGAAGCTGTCGCGGCATTATGATCTATCGCGCCTCCAATATTTATATTATACCCCCGTCGAATTAAGCCGGCGGCAATATACGTCTACATTGCTCAGGTTGACGGACCACAAAAATACTAATTTTTTCGGTTCAGGATTCGAAGTCAAGTTCAATGCAGAGAGGTTCTGCGTGAATCTCCAATGAAGACTTTCTTCAGTTTGTCCGCATTCGTCTCCGTGCTACCGGCTTGAACCATTTGGTTAAGTTTAACTTAGTACCTTTCTGTCTGTCAAATATATTTTTATTCAGCAGTTCACCTAATAGCTAGTTAACTAAGCTCATATTTCAAACCGAAGAATATACTAATATCGCTTTAGTGGGACATAGTACGTAATGTAATATATAACCCGCTCGTCAAAATGACTTCTCGATTGCTACTAAAACCTGAATTAAAATACGAGTATCAGCTGCTTAGTGGGGTGCCGGCGGGTTAACATGCTCCTTGGCTCAAAAAGCGCTTGCTTAATTTTCGTAATTTTCCTGCAGCCGGTGTTGTTGACCGAGCATACGACTGAAGCTGTTTCTTAAACGCGGATACGCACAAAAGCTCGATTTCGTGGACAGATAAGTCACATGGTCGAGGCATGCAAGTTGGCTGAAAATTACTGTCGGTGGGAGAATTCTGCATTCATTGCCGCTTTCCTTAGATGATCAAAACTGATTAGTACATTACCGTCTCTCTAGAGCCCATAGTTTCGGTTTCGAACGAAATCTCCGAAACAAAATTTTGACATGAAAAGAACAAAAAGCACAATTGGAAAACAAAACTATGCTCTGCAAGTTTATGTGCACCGGCTACACTTAACCGTCTCAGTTCAAATACCCATAAAATTGGGCATTAAACAAAAGAAAATCTGTGAAATTGAACGCGCCACCTGTTGAGGCGGCCCGGCCGAGCCGACGCGACCTGGACTCAGCCGCCATGTTTGTTTGGTGGTGGCGTCCCCTATAGGTCGCTGGAGTCGCGAATACGGTAGTGACAAAACGTTTTCAGTTTGATCTCTTGCCGTGTTGGTAGATGTGGCATGCTTGCTGATTTGCGGCCTGTCCTCCTCCCTGTAGGATGCCCTGGCCCTGGTGAGGCTTGACGAGCTCTTCCTCGAGTCCTTCGACGTCCAGGATGGCAAGTAGAACTTTCGTCATGCTTCTGTCCATTTTTAAGTTCTTGCGATTTTTTTGCGGTGGTGTTGCGTCCTCTGGCTGCGGTGTTGAGCCTCTTGTTCCCAGTTTATGGCGTCTGGTAGTGAAAGACTGACTGATACCCGTTTGGTTCAGTCAGAGAACCATGAAAATTAAAAATTTAACAAGTTTTTAAAATCAGTCTAGAGAAGTAACCAGCATGGCCAACGCGGCTTTCAGGAAGCATAAAGTGTTTTTTTTTTTTTTTTTGCAAAACTGCCCTAATGTAACGGTTTTACTAAACACTGCTCCACCTCTGGTGAGGTGTCTGCAGCCATGCCGGTGGTGCTTTTGCGCCACTTTTTCTATTTGTTTGCACATAAATTATTCTTCATAAACATTGTTTTTGGGTCTGGCAAATTTCGGAAGCAAGAGAGGTGGCCGTGTGGGCGGCAGAACACGAAGCACATGATCGGCGACGTGTTTAACTCGCATAAACCCTCGCTTACTCTACTTTGTTTGCCATAAAGGTTGTGTCGGCGCATCCCCCAGGCCATTTCGATTGCCAGCTCCTCTTGCCTTCAAATAGCAAGTGGTGTATGGGAGAAGTAGAGTATGAGTTGACGTTCCTTGATGTTGCCTACCACTCTGGCTGGAGCAGTCATTTACGACGCAAAATACTTGAGCGAGCTGGATAACACTGCCTCAGTGCACAGAAAAACATGGGGAGAAATTTTGGCAGTAGAAATTGTTGCGAGAGTTCAGGTTTGGTGTATGTCACGTGAAACCCACCCGTTCGACTCTGACATCACACTCTCAGCCTTATTTCTCAGACTTGCTGCCAAAATATGCATTGATCGACGAACCAAGCTCGTCTTTAGCAGTCGGGGGGGCTGATTCTTTCTCAACTGGAGAATGGAGCACTTTTATCCCTGAACACTTTAGGACAATACAGGGCCCTGTGTGTCATAGTGTTCTCGTGCTCACTTTAACTTTGTCTTCTCGGGACAAAAACGTCACCACACCCTCAAATCCCGCAATCTGCTGCTCCAAGAAGCATAGGACCAACTTTGTGCCTCGCGTTAAGGGGGTTGTATATTCACTCCCCCTTTCCTGTGGAAGACAATACGTTGGACAAACTGGGCGATGTCTAGATGACCGCCTTCGAGAACACTCCAACAACATTGTAAACGCCAACTCTGGCCACTTGGGGATACACTGTTGGGATTGTGGGTGTGTCGCACACTTCAACAACAGCACCGTGTTGGGCAAAAGTGTAAACCAATTAACAAGGGAAATCATCGAAGCCGAGAACATCATACGACTAGAGGACAAATGTGTTAGTACGCCGTCGATAACATTATCACAAAAAGAGAATAATTATTTAACCGCAAATCAGCCTAAGCGTTAGACAGGAATTTTTTACTTATATGTCGTCTTTTTCTATTTGCAAATCGTCTAAAATCTGAAGAAGTAGAAGCCGAAGTAAAACACAATATACAAAGTTGTTAGTGAGCGCTGTGTGAGAGGAGTGTTTTTTGGGGTGTGTGAATGCTTGAGTGACAGTTTTTCGAGTGCACTAAATGTCGACAAAAGGGGAATTTAAAAGATGTGTCACGTAGGGACTGGCTAATGTACTAGCAGTGTCGCATGCCCTTTCTTTTGGAACTAAACAAGACGTGGTCAATGGAAGGATTTTGGTGCTTCTGGCATATTTTTCTACATAAATTTTGTTTTATCCAAGATGTTTGCAACTTGACTGAATTTTCACATTGTGACAATATAGCATTTTAAGGTGAAGTGGCTGGTGTTTTTTTTTAATGCAAAATGTGTTTTAGGGCTGCTTCCCGAGCCAGTGGTGTCACAAAATGTAAAAAAATGTGATTACCCCGTCAATTGTCTTTACAAAAGACCGCATTCCTCGGCGGTGGTCGAATTGCCAACCTTTCACTGTAATCTGGCACCTTGTCCCCTGCACTCTTTGGTTACCGTGGTTTTAGGATGTGTTCGTATATCCACGCATGTTGTTGCAAAATCTTTGTCGCCTCATTCGTGGGAAGAGCTCAATACACGCCGCATATAAACGCAGTTCAGCTTCATTCTTGTTTTTGTTCTTTGCCTTCATTTGACATTTTTTACGGGGGGATTGGTGGCCAAGCGTATTAACGCGCTGCAGCTTGGAGCTTATAGAGCAAAAGTTGGCACTGAAAAACCCAATCGTGCAGGCCCTGCCCGTTTCTGTCCAGATGAGCATCGTAGTGGTGTGCTGTCATGTATCACTACTGCACGATGCACATCAGACTCCTGGCTGTCTTTGCGGCGGCTAAATTTCCCATCTACGGCAGATACAGCAGACGCCCATACCAACTTCCCACATAATTACAAATTTTACCATCGACTTCTCCTTTGTCTGGCTTGCCTGGCAAGCATGAAATACAGTAAAATGGGAAACTGGTTAGGGTGGCAACGATGGTTTCCTGCTGTCCTTGCAGTGAAGCCCCTGAAGGGTGACCACCTGGCCCGGTGCATCGGGCGCCTGGCCGGCAAGGGCGGCCGCACCAAGTTCACCATTGAGAACGTCACAAAGACACGTATCGTGTTGGCAGACAGGTGCGTTGCTTGTTCTCAAGCTGACGCTCCTAAGGGTGTACTTGTGCAACGGATCTTCATCTACCGAGAAAACTGAGCACGTCGTAGAGCCGCGAGAAGGAAGTGCCGCGGGAAGGAGGGGCTGTTTCAAAAAACTTGAGCGGGCATTCGCAGGACGGAGTCACGCGTAGTTGAGTCGGCAGAATCTTTCTTTTTGAGAACATGTTTGCGGCCCTTGGGGGTACATCATACAAAAGACGGGGAAAAAAAAAGAAAAGAAAGGCGCCCCACACCTCAATGCTGCTAAGCATAATCCTTCCCCAAACAGAGGGGGCTGGTCACTCTGACAGGACGACGAATATTCTGTGGGCGGGTCACAGATTCTTGGCGGCTCCGCGCAGGCTCGGTGGATTGGGGAACATCCGTGACACGACGCACGTGTCCTCGGATCTCCATGACGTTTAATCCCCTTCTCGGCTAAAAGCTCCGTAGTGTGAACACACCACAAAGCACCCCTTCCTATGCTTGAGCGCTGCTTGCGGCATAAATAATGACCTCTTGTCGTCCATTCATTTCCACTGGAAACTCTGCTCTTATGACATTTTAACATATTTGACTCTCATCTGTTTTCTTTCAGATTGAGGATTGTTTTGTCCTCTATTCCTTTAAAGGACACATGGAAAGAAAAAATATTTTTTTTTTAAACAGCCTAGTTGGGAAAAGGAAGTCAGAAAACGAATTTGCAACGAAAAATAAATTTTTTTAGAGCTATATTTGCGGCGCTATACGAATTTGTAGTTGGCGCCCGCGGGTGCTGCGGAGAAGTGGCCACTATTTGTCACGTGACAGGCCGCTGTTTGTCACGTAGTACTTGTGCTCTTTCGGAAGCTTCCTATGGTCTCTAAAAGTTACTTATTCATCTTTGTTTCAAGTGCAACAAAAAACGAAGATTAATAAGTAACTTTTAGAGCCCAAAGGAAGCTCCTGAAAAAGCGCAGATGGCGGCGGCGCCGTGGAACAGACGAACTTGCACGGCGGCAGCAGCGTCGTGGAGAAATCTTTGAACCGGCACAGCACCACACTCAGCATGCGGCAGCGGCGCGGCGCAATGGCGCACAGGTGTACCATGTGACCTGCAGTGGCTCCTGTGGGCGCCAAATACAAATTCGTTTTGCTCTATAACATTCTTTTTCCATCTAGGCTGTTTAATAAAAATGTTTTTTCCCTTCACATGTGTCCTTTAAGACAGAAGTATTTGCTTCTAATTTTGCTATAAAAATTGTCAGGAGAGCAAAAACTAATGTATCGAAAGGATTTATTTCCAGACATTTTGAACTCTGATACTTCCCGAGTGACTTGAGCGATATAGTAACGATTCTGTGCTTGGTTTCTAGTTGTGTTGAAAAATTCCAGCACGTTGGCTGGATGGTGGTATTTTATATCTAGGGTTCAGTGTTTTCGGATACCGTAATATCCCGAGTCATCGCCCACCCCCCTACCACCTGAAATTCGTTAAAAAAGTGGGGTGGGCCATGTCTCGGTGGGTGAGCACAAACACTTGAAAAAAAGCGGAAAAAACGCCTATTTTTCTCTGCGTATCTAGCGCTGATGCACAAGAGATACATCAAACTCGAAACTCGATTTAGTTTCATTGTTTTATAGAAAAAATGCTCACGAAAGAATATTTTACTATAGCGAAGTCCGTTGCTTGCATACGCGCTAGAAACACCACCGATCTGCATATAGCACGAACGTTTGTTTCGTGAAAGAATGTCACCATTATGTTCTCCTAGTTAGTAAAAAAAAAAAAAGAAAAGTCTACAAGAAAATAGAAAAACCGACCAGGCGCAACGAGCGAGCGGACCAAAGAAGCGACCAAGAGCAATGCTGGGAAAGCGGGAAAGCCGGCGGTCGCGTTGGCAAATACTTTGGCGTCGGGCCAAGTAGGGCGCCTTGTCAATTGCAAGCCCTTGCGCAACTTTCTTGTTTGGTGCGTACATACGTGCGTCCGTACACGGCGGGCTGTCAATGCACGGTTGAGACGCTCTGCAAACGTCTGTCTAGGGCGTTCCAGTAAAGCTTTATTTACGCGTTGGCTTTGCCTAAAATATTGCACAACCGCGGTCGCGACGGGCGGGAAGAAGGAGCGGGTTCGCGGTGACCTTACTTGGGCGGAGACAGACTTTTACCTAACACTCCGCGGTTACATTAACAAACTCTTATTTTGTTATCTCCATCGTTTTCTTTTCGCACGGATACACGACCACTTTGGGGTCGCTCACGGAGGAAATGCGTAAACAAAAAGAAGTGTCTTTCCCTCCTTCGTTTTACTTTGTCACGGACGTCCTCCAACTGTAAGGTCCGCGGCCGCGTCATTGGGGTAGGATGAGTGTTCGCGGATCGCAGAGTCCGCGCTGGGGTATTTGAAGGGGTGGGCGATGACTCTGTGTTTTTTCGGAAATCGATATTGGCCCAAAAAATGGGGTGGGCGATGGCTCGGGGATGGGCAATGACTCGGGATATTACGGTATATCCGAAAAACTTTGAAAGAACCCATCGGTAAAATTTTGGCCAATTTGGATTTATCCAATGAACTCCGAATTTCGATGTGCCAATTGCCCCCCCCCCCCCCCCCCTCCCCCCACCCCACACGCAAATGTATTTTACAATAAACGGTTTGATCAGCGCAGAGTCATGATCCTGGGAAAATGCCAGCACCTTTTCGTTTCAAATTTCGGTAATTGTACTTTCGGGTCGCTACAAAAGTCACTGTTTATGTTTCCAGTTTGGGCCATACTATTTGCGCTTTAGAGGAAGAGAGGTTGTGGTTTTGTAACAGTGAAATCTGTGGACCATAGAGACTGCATAAAGTGGGGAAGAGGGACAATTGAAACTTCCCTATTGCATCCTTTACCACTCCACCTTGCATGGCCGCGCAGTAGGTTGATGGAATAGCATGTTATGAACACCAACTTCCTAGCGACCACCTCCAGGAGTTTATTGATTTCAAGGTTTTTACATTTATTGAAGCAACACTTAGTGCAACCTCTGTCGTAGGACAAATTAGTATTGCCAATAGTAATGGCACCAACGCCAAATACAACTGAAGAAAATATTAATTGATACCATCACGTTTTTTCTTTTGTCCAGCATATGCTTACACCTGGGTATTATTTATTCATTTTTAATAAGAAACACTATGAAATTATACTCCAAATTCAGGAGAATTAAGAATCAAACAAAAATAAGCTCTGAATTTTCGGCAAAAAATAAACTTCAAAAAACACCCTCCGAATTCGGCGAAAAATAAACTCCAAAGACTCGGAATCCCATTTATACCTTGATCACACTAGGTACAAACCTGAAGTAGTAGTGTGAATAAATCAAAGCTAAAAGACGGCACTTGCAAAACGGCTATTTTACAAAAAGCAAATGGCACAAGATCCCTTTTTTTTTTTTTGAGTATCTCTGTGTGTCATTGAAAGACTTGGCTGCTTTGCAAGCCAAACCACCTCTGTCTTTTTTTTTTTTTTTTTTTGTCGTAATATATATTAGCTCTCCACCCTATGTTGGCCCTCAAAATTTTAAAGTGATAACTTTAAGGAGCTCGTTTCGCAGAAAAGTGGGTGTCGTAAGCGTGGGACGAGAAAATGAACTGCCACATGACTGCGAGGGAATTTCGAACAACGCTCACGTGAAACATGACGAAACGCATGAAATGAAGGTGCTTAAAACATGACATGTAATGCGAAATGAAGGTTGCAGCAAGTCTCAAGTGGATTTCGCTTTATAAAGGAATTTAAAGAATTTTAGGCAGAGGTGGGATTCAAACCCGCGACCCTTTGGTTGCGAGCCAGGCACGCTATCAACTCGGCCACGCAGACAGGCTTGCACGACTTGGTAACGAGCGGGGGTTTAGATGTTTAGCTATCGCTTTCCACTCTTAAAGGGGTAGGGTAACGAAATTCCAGCGCTCACTTTCTAGCTTGAATGTGTTGCATGTTGCACTGTAACCTCAAAAACACCAGTCTTCCGTTGAAAGGCACAGGAAAACTAATTTTAAAGCCAAATAAACAATCTTTCAATGTGCACCTGGTGGATGCATGCGGAGCCTATTTGGGAGGTAACTAGCAACGTTGGGGAACTTCCTACGTAGTCGTGACGTAGCAGATTCTTCGCGGCAGCGCCGACCTTAGGAATTTTAACATTTTCCTTCTTAGCTTTCCTCCTAGCTCAACTCACAAATCGCGCATTGTACCAAACGGTCCAAGAAGACGGAAAGGAAGGACTCCCCTCTTTCTCGGACCCTTGTTCCTGCAACCGAAAACAGCCATTCTCTCCCTAGAAGATTAGCCCGTCGCTCAAAACTTGAACAAAAGTTGCTTTCCCCACCCCGTTCAGCCCTAAGCTGACAGTGTTGTGGAAGCTACATGCTCCTTGGGCCAGCCACACGCTCGTCACCCGACGGGTACTTCGAACGGTTCGGTTGTAACGTGCCGACGCTATTGACACCACCACAACGCTTACAACGCCACCAAGGACAAAGCTCATAACCACCCCTGCCTTGCTACTCCACGAACGCGGGAAATCTTTCCTTTCTGTTTTTGTTTGCGCCAGATATCCCATGACGCATCGCGCTCTCCGTTCGCTTCTCTTCAAGCGGTTGCTCGAGTGCACCGTTTGGAACGAAAAATATAGCCAGTCGTTCAAAATACAAGCGTGTGATTATCATTTACGGTTATTGTCCGTCATACTTCATTCACTTCCGAACGAAATTTGAATATTTCAATTTTTGTTTCCGTACCCCTTTAAAGGCGAAGCTTAAGCGCCCTCCTGTGTTGCGGATGGGCTGTCTAGCCCCTACACCCAAATGAGTTTAGGACCCCTGATCTATAGGGTAGCACTGGAACACTTTTGGTCTTTGTACAAGTAGACTGAAGGTTTTGCTGTTTGGGAAATCAAATGCACTCGCTTTTTTGAGAGCTGGTCACTTATTACATTGTCAGAATTATTTCAAGCCCACGGTGAAGGATGACAAGTAAATATTGGGAAATATGCTCAGTTCCACGGCTACCCAATCGATGGCACCATTCATATTCGACTATTCGTGTATTCGACTTGCTGCCCACGAGTTGGAGCTGCCATGTAATATGCCAGGTGTCACGGTACTAACAGTTGGTTTGAAAAGCGCCGCCAAAGAAGACAAGCAGACGTTGCAGCGTCTCGTTTCGAGGCTGGATGTGAAAGATGCATTTCATCCGCGACCTTTGTATTCACCCATGCTACTTACCACACCCAGCATCGTAACGATCCGCAGTATTACGTGGCTGCGAAACCGCCAGCCGGAAATGGAAGGTGCAAAACAACTGTGCATGAAACGCACCAGTTGAAGATGGGCTTTGGCCGCTGTAGCTTGTGCTCCTCGTCAATCGAGCTTGGACGAGAGAAGGGTGTACTCAAACTAGCTGTGCGTGTGTTGGTTTCTTTTCAGCAAGGTTCACATACTCGGCTCCTACCAGAACATCAGGGCTGCGAGAACAGCCCTCTGCAATCTGGTTCTTGGTAAGCCTGCCATGTCAGAACATGAATCTGGGGAACCTTGTACCGTTCAAATTTTGCCCTGTCCGCGATCTGCGGTATTAGTTCCCGCGTCGTGGTTTATAGCAGGTGCACCTGTGTTTATCATTCATTTTCGATAAAGCTTTGCTGTGTCATCCCCAAAGATAGCCCATCCCATGTTTTTCACCATTTATCTCTTCATTTTGGGTGGGCGTTCTTACGGGATTTCACGGTAGGCAGGCAAGCACGTTTGGGACGTCGTCTGCGAATGCTGCTGTGGACTGCTTGAAACAAGTTTTTCTTTTTTTTTCTTTTCTGAACAATGTAAGTTCATTTGTTTAACTCTAAGCTTCCACCACCTGGCCGCACCTTTGTAGTAATTCGTAGCACAATACGATAAAAAACCTATTTTTGCAGATCGTTTAGAATGGGTTCGAAGCGCGAATGTATGTGCTGTACACCAGGGAAATTTAACTATTACCATTGATGCGAAGAACTTTTTTACTGTTTATTTTTAATCTGTTGTGCACTGCAACAGGCATCCTCAATACCTTAGGTATTGCAAGCATGGGTGATCTGGCGGAGATCTAGCATCTTGATCCTGATCGCCTTTCATATATGGCAGGGGTGGCCAAGCAGCGGCTCTTCGCGTGTTAAAGTGCGGCTCGCGACTCCCTCCCCCCTCCCCTCTCTCCCTCCTCCTTACCGATCACACGAGCCCTTCCCCAAAAAAGAGAAATGGTATGCGGATATATCGAAAGACAAGTTGCGGTTTGGTACTAGATAACAGAAAGTATAAAACAGAGAGGACGAACCACAGACGAGTACATTCTTTCACTGAAAGAATGTACTTGTCTGTGGTTCGTCCTCTCTCTGTTTTATGCTTTCTGTTATCTAGTACATCTTACCAACACGCTCGTTAGGAATATAATATAACGGTTTGATAGTTTTGTGTTACTGCTACCTTACGTACAGTTGGACTGCTTTGGACTCGGATAGATTGAAAGTATAGTTTGAGTTTCGTTTCTTGCTCTGGACAGAAATATGACCCCACCCCCCACGGCTCTAGGAAATTTTGTGCTTTTGCTTGCGGCTCTTAGTCCGGGTCAGCCTAACCGCCCCTGATATATGGGAAACACTTTCTCTGTTCGTTCTCCGTTCACACCACAACCTCATGTTCAAAATGTTAAGTATAGGTACTTTGTTTCTGCTATCCTTATGCAGTACACTATTGGAAGTGGGTATCTGAAGTAGTGGTGCATAATGTCTGTAGTCGGTGACAGGTCAAGAACAAAAAGGAAGCTCTTCCCATCCCTTTTCACTTCAGCGGAGTGAACGGTTGAGAGGAGGTCGCCTCCTCTTGAGCGTTCACTCTACTAAAAGGAAAGAGGTGGGAGGAGCTTCTACTTCGTTCTTCACCTGTCACCGGCTATAGTGTATTTAAAAACGAAAGACATTACCAAATAATTTTGCTTCTTTTCCTGCACCATTGGGGGTTGTGACCGCCACAAATAGTAATTAACGTATTTATACGTAGAGCACGAATTTTAGTGGAAGGCTTAGGTGCCAGGTTTGTACCCACCCCCCAGTCCTAATGAAAGTTTAATGTTGGACGATAATTGCACATTCTATGGAGTGACAGACTGTTCTAAGCAGATTGCACCATAACCTAACAATTTTTTTTTTTTTTTTTTAGCAGAGATTAATATTGTAAGATCCCTAAGAGTGCCCACCCATAATGAAGAGTTAAATGGTGAAAAACAGGAGGAGGGCTATCTCTGGGGGTAAGACAGCAAAACTTCTTCAAAAATTAATGATGAACACAGGGGGCACCTGCTACAAACTGCGTGACACAGGAGCTGATACCGCAAATTGCAGACATGGCAAATTAGCGTTTCACGTTGCGATAAATACGCGGGAATTTACTACGAACTCCCGTGTCACGGGAAAGGATATTGCAGACTGTGGATGGATCAGATTTGTGTTTCCCAGCACGATAAACACGTGGAAACCAGCTAAATTTGCGTGCCAAGGGAACTGGTGTCGCCTGTGCAGGTCGCGGACAAAAACGCGGGAACCCACTGCAAATTTGCTTGTTACCCATACCGGTACATCAGCTCATGCAACTGATGTGGCTCCCATCAAACATCGCGCAATGTCCGACAGCAATCGGGTTGGGGGGGGGCCATGTTTTGGAATTTTTATGTTGCGGATATTTAGCCAGAAAAAACAGAATGGGCAATCCCTCGGGGGTGCGCGTCCTTGCGGGCTTTTACGGTAGTGCCACGGGCAGCACTGTGTTTCTGACCTCTCGTTTCTTTTTGTCTATGCAGGCAAGCCCCCGTCCAAGGTGTACGGAACCATGCGGCAACTAGCGAGCCGGATAGGAGAGAGATTCTAACTTATTTTGATCGGAACACCAAAACAGAGTACCTAATAAAGCTAGTCTCAAAAGCACCCTCTGCGGTTGGGCACTTTACATCTGCTCCTATTCGTCTTGAATGGTTGCTTTGGGACACTGCAACTGTACTGATGGCTGGCTGAAGACCGTGGAAGTTCTATGGATGGTTTATGGCTCTTGATGCTGTTTTGAAACTTTAATTGGCACAAATGAAATAAACAAAGTAGCCATTTGACAAACAAATGGTGAAAGGGCTGGTGCATCACATTTGGTTCAGACACGAGTGTGACCTTGTGCATCGCCGCTGGACGTGACCGCTTACGAGAGCTTTATGCCTCATTCTTTCATCGTGGGTTCGAAATGATTCTGTCATTGTTATAAGCGACCATTTCTCGTAGATAGCACATAGATTTATTCTTGCAAATACTGCAGAGACCTTTGGTCTAGTTGTACAAAGATTGGAAAGGTTCCGGGGTCACCAGGGGGTGGTTCCAGCGTTTTCTCTTGTAGCAACCGGTTGTGACACGATCGATCACACTCATACCCAGCTCAGAGTGCGCTGCAGAACCCCAGAATCTTCTGGGTTCAGTTCCCGACCCTGCCCGTCTCAACCCAGACGAGCGGCGCACGACCACACGCCGGTGCGGCGCTCGTCTGGGTTGCGACGGGCAGGGTCGGAAACTGAACCCAGAATTTTGACACACGTTAAGAGACCCTGGGCTGAAAGTCTTACCACGTTGGCCAAATTTCTAGTTTTCAGCACAGATATCGGGCACCCACTGGTGCTGACTAAACAGTGGCTCACAGCCCTAAAACGCCTTGAAGTCTCGCGAGGAGAGAATATGCTGGCACTATCTCTGGGGTGTCCGTGGAACGCTTTCAGTTTTTGTACATTTCCTTTTATCTTTCGAGCGTCGTTCCTTTTTTTCTGGCTCAAAATACTTTTGACAATGTTATAAACAATCATTTCTCCTAAATGATATGTGCATATGATCTCGGAAATACCACAAAGGCTTCGCTCTAGTGAAATGCACTTCCAGCGTCAACTTGTAGATGGAGCTAGTGGACCAGTGTGTTCTCTCATCATAGGAGATTGCAAGAGCTCGATCCTAAGCAAATGCAAGTGTGTAACTGGGCCTTTACTTCCCGCTCTCCAAACAAATGCATGACCCAGTTACTTTTTTGCTCAAATGCAAACAAACAAAGCCTTTGGTAAGGTGGTGAACTGGGCCAGTTCGTCGAGGTTAAACATGGTGGGGAAGACAGCTCAGAAGATGTGGACTACGAAGAACAACAGACACGACAGGAGGGTGCTGTTCTCGCAGCTGAAGAATTTTAATGGAGGAAATCAAGGCAGAAAAATATACATGGTATCTTAAAAGATTGCACACAAACAAATGGCCACACTCGCCAACCATGAAGTGTGGCAGTAATCTACATTTCTGCCCGTTCACTATGTGACTTGTTTTTTTTCCGCAGGAAGGATATCTCTTTTGCTGACTGCTCCAAAAATGGTTCACTAACACATAAATGCCCATGGCACCAAATGTGGAAGGCTTCTATAATCTCTCTGGTCTCCCTATCCCTGTGCGTGCCCAGAATGGTGACCCTGCCAAAATCGAGCCGACATTTGAACTCTGCAGTGAATTGGCAAAAGCCCCCCATCCGTGGCTCCGAGCGAATACGAATGTTCTGTAAATCTATCATTCAAACATCTTCCTGTTTGTCCCATATAGCACCTGTTACATGAAAAAGGGATCTTGTACACAACACAAGTGACAGGATTTCTATGTGCCTTGGTACACTTTTCCTTCAAACAACCATTCACACCCACACCAACCCTGGAACATATCTGTCCTATTTCTTGGGGCGCAGAAAACACTACCGGTAATTCATATCTACTACGTACTTGTTTCAAGTGGTGAGACACACAATAAAGGCAGGGGACCACCATCATGCACTTCTTTTCCCTTTGCAGCTTCGTCTTCTCTACCCCCTTAGCTTTTTAAGAAGTGTGCTGGCTACTTCTGCTAAGAATGCCAATGGGAATCCCGACTCCTTCAGTCTACCAATTCGCCTTCCAAAACCTTCAGTCATCTTGTGGGCACATGATTTTTTTAAGGCCAACCCAAGGCACAACACCGCTATGGCCCTCTTGACCACTTTTGAGTGGGAGGATTTAAAATCAAGAATCGCCTTTTTAAAATGCAGGCAAAACGACCAACATATATTTTTGTCACTCTGGTACATCGTCAAATCCAGGAACTGCAGAGCCCCTTCACTTGACTCTTCACAAGTGAACCTCAGGCACCCACCACACTTTCCAAAGGCTAAAACAAAATATTGTGTATCGTCATCTTCTGCCCCCTCATACAAAACCAAAACATTGTCTTCATATCGAAACATCCTTTTTACTGCCGATTCCCCCAGAGCACCCTCCACTGCCCTATATACTCCGGATGGGTAAATGTCGCTCAAAATTGGTGCCAGACAGGACCCGATACACACCTTGCTTTTGTAGGAACGAATTGTTGCAGCCTACAACCATAGAATTCAGATTAAATTGCGACATCTCAAGGAAATCCTCCATGGAAACTCCACTGGAGTTTCCGAACCCGAGTTCCCCATTTGTTACAATACAATATCTTACAGAAGCAAGCAGCTGGTCCTGGGGTAGCGAATGAAATAAATCCTCAATGTCAACGCTGAAAGCCGACCACCTTGTGGCCTCATTGTCTTTTTAAAAATTGCACACCACCTCAGAGTTGGCCATCCTGAAAGGGTCCCCACGTCCAACGGAGCCAACTGTTTCTGAATGAACGCTGCCATTTGCCGTTGCCACGTGCCCCTTTCAGTAACGATCGCCCTAAACGAGCACAAGTCTTTATGTGTCTTGGCGCTAAAAAAGTATCTCGAGATGTAGCCCTTCATATTTCTTGATACGCACCCCCCCCCCCCCAACTGGCTCAAGGCTAGGTTCTCACTCATCTCCATAGCTTTGGCCTGAGCCTTTTTCGACACATCAACCTGCCTAAAATTTTTGGAAATAGCTGCATTCACTTTTTCACAAAAAAAACATCCTCTGGCATACAACAAAGGAACCCTCCTCATCTGATCCAAAACACGAAATATTTGACCAAGGGTGTCAACCCCACTTGTCCTCCATGCAACTTGAGACCTTGCACAACTCCGAGTATAACCGTCTTTGACGCTCCACACTTCCACCCTCTGCCGCAGAGGCCACTCTTAAACTATCCCTGAAAAAACATTCCCGTCGCCAGTACTCTGACGGGAGAATTCGGCACATCTTTCGCGTGTGTCCTACAGATGGTGCCGGATGAAAGACAGCCAATCCCAATACGACGCCGGCCAATCGCGGCTTTTGTGAATGAACACTTCATGTGATTGACCGGCACCTTATCGGTTTTCGCCGTTTTTGTGATATGCCGTACGACCATTGGATGTGGCATGAAAAACGTCTACGAGTACGCCATTTTGCAGCTGTCCTGGCATGGGTGTGAGGCACTTCCAAAAAGTGGTTCCAGTAGAGCATGGAGAGGCTGCCACACAGGTGATACAAGGGCATTGATCTCCATGGGGGAGTCTGTCGAAAAGGTGGACATAATGTATGTCCAACAAATTGTAAATCAATATGGTATACCCCTCGTATGTCACAAAATGAACTTTCCTCCCGAAACTTGATCCTCTTGTCACATCGACCTGTAACGGAAGCACCAAATAGAAGCATGTTGTGATACTCAAGATGCACTTGCAACCTAAATATTGTGACATGTCCTATTGAAAAGCTTAAAAATATTCTAGAGCCCTTTCACTTCACGTGAAGATGGAGGACCAGCGAAGCTGTTATTTTGACTACGTCTAGGACGATGCCTAGAGGACGTCTAGGACGAACTCGAATACACCGCCTAGAGGATGACGCCTAGGACGACCTCTCGGATGACCTTGAGGACGATTCCTAGAGATGATAGCAAGGGGGGGGGGGTCAGAACCTCACCACATAATAATGCCAAGGAAGGCTGACTCACGCTGATTGCCCCCCCCCCCCCCCCTTTTTATTTTTACGTATTCATACTTGCCACGACCAATGGGGAGTTTTCTGTCAACATCCGCGGACACATTTTTTCCCCGACCTTAGCGCATAACAGCTTCGCTGTAGAAAAAGTTTTTATTTGTTATATTTGTGTGTGACAGTGATTTCGGTTTGCAGTTACGCCATTTGCCCCAATGTGCAAATGACACAACAGTTGCAAGACTTCAGTGATGTGGTTGCTGTGCCAAACTGCACCAACTTGCTTATCCTGATACATTTTGCTAGAATTTTAAAAATGTGAGCCAACATCACACCAAAAGCCAATATCACTATATAATAGCTCAGGTCCCTCTACATGGCCAGATTGCTATGGCAGGAGTATGCAAATTTTCAGAACTTTCGATGATAGCGTTAAATATTGTACTTTTTGATTTCATCCCTTCAAACACCGACAGTACTCGGAAGTTGCGCAATATTTCTCGGGTGCGTGGTCTGTTCACGCCATTTCGCTGAGGACTCTTCTCACTATGCACTGGTGAACTGCAGTGAAGTGAAAACCGAAAAATGGACATTGCGAATTTCCCTGTCTTGTTTTGCGTCAGCGCACCCGCATCTAAGGGGAAAGCACCCCTCCACGGTGGGGCGTGTGACTATGATATTTAGTATAATGGTCTGCAATATTCTAATGATATCTTCTTCATATTCTAGATTTAGCAAGGATAATTTAGTATTGCTAAGATTTTATGGACAGCTTTATATGGGCTTATTTTTTATGCCATCTCTCGCGTTTAGTTATTGCCGTTATATAGCTTCATATCTGTTCGATGGCACAGTCAGTAGAGTACTCTAAAACTAAATATCTACAGCACCGCATGGAAGTTTGGAAACAACCTTAATGAATTCGGTGTGACTGTTTTTAAGAAGGCATACATTTATCGTTCAGGTGCAGATTTTCGGTATAAGTGCTACATACAAAATGTTATGTCCACAATAAAATACGAAAGCTTTGTTTTTATCCGATTTTAGA